TGACTTCTTAAAACGGTTTAAGTTTGAACTAAAAATTAATCATATGTCGTACTTAAACGATTCTAGATTTATTTATCTTAACGATATTAAGTACAGAATGGAATAATTACTAAATCTCTAGTTTTAAAATTATATTACTTTCTTTAATCTTATGGAATTTACTGGAATGAATGAATATATTATGTATTGTTTTTTTACCAATATTCCAACTATTTAACATGTCCAAAACTGCCTTTAATCCAGGATTGCGGATCAGAGAACGAAACCAATCTGGAGTTTACCGGATACCCCTACCCCCATTATATATATCCTTGCTTAACCCTGCCTACGCTGATAAATTGTAAAGAAGGATTCCTGGAGAATCAGATGAAAGATATTTCTTTATCAGAAAATCCTGGTGAACATGCGATGTATATGCATGCAAAGAGGATATACTATTCATCAGCCTCTATTCGAGGTGTAAATTCAAACATTGAGATATATTGTGAGATTTGTTCTGGATACATTATGCCAGCTCTTCTGTTTGCCATACACATAACAGTTCCTAAGATTATAGAAAATCTGCTCCGGCCGATATTTGGAGGAACTGATTATCACTGTATCATCACCTGCAAAAACACCCCGCACTTGCACAAGATATCCCCGTTCTCGTCTCTTCAGCAATACTTAATAATTGGCAGGGATTAAGATCAATGAATGGTTATCGGGGTGACGAGATCCATGTAGACTATATTAAAATTCCTGGAGCCACAGTTAGAAAACTAGAACACGCCTTCATGGCGGAATACAGTAATGTACACAGAGCTGTAGATATGCTTCTTGTTGGCGGATTGAATGATGTCCTTCGTGGTGCTACAGACTCTGAAATCTGATATCTGCGACTACAGAAACTCTGTAAAATCTATCTCTGCTGGGACTGGAGATATTTATCAAGGAGTTTTACCGCAGCAACCCTCCTATTCCTGATTGATCGAAAAAGACCATAAAAAGAATAGTCAACAACAGACGAGATCTAATGGTTTTCCTCACATCCAATCCAATCATACCAACCCTTCTCGCTCCCTGTTTCAATACATGGGTGACATAAAAACTTCACTGGACCAAAGACTCTCATGGAAGGATGGCTAACACGCAGAATAGAGAGAGACCAAACCCAAGGACATGTTACACCTCGAGGACAATGCTAGGATCAGAATGGGTAAGACATCCGTCGGATATTTCAAGGCAATATACAAAATCACTGAATGTCGGGCCAGATCGAAGAATGAAGGTTTAAAGCTCATTCGTGATGTCATGTTAAATAGTTATGATCTCAGAAAGATTCATGAACCTAATCTCAAACATTTAAAAATTCTGATCTTCTATATATGTGAATAATATTTGAGATATAAGAACTGATTCCAAAGTTAAACTAAAACCCAACCAACCAGTGAATTAATGATACCTGTCATATAAGCTTGAGTTTTACAAGCAATCAATTTATATATTATTTTTTTTTATTTTCTATTTTTACTTTCTCACATAACGGAAATTATCAGGAATCTTTGGGAAAAGTCTTGCTTTTGGTCATTTTTGAATCCATTTTTTCATCAGATGAAAAGTACTTTTTTCGTTTTTTTCTTACTTTTCCAAAATCATATCTTATTTTTTTCCAGACACTCTCTATTACTTTCCTAAAATGATCATCCTAGGTTTTACGTGTACGTCTCATACTTCATATGGAATATATAATCTGAGAAAAACCAAAATTCAAAATATAAAATATTTAAAAAACTAATAAATAAAAAATTCGTAAAAATTGAATTAGAAATGAATCAGTGCTTTGCAATGAGACACCTGGAAACTCAATATTTATCAAGGGAGTTGAGTTTATGCCACAAACTCTGAGTTTCAAATCTCTATATCTTTGCATCCCATTGTCGTAGACCTTAGTTATTTCAAACTATGAATTCTGTTAGATCAAATGACGTAAATTTGAAATATCAAAGGTATACACCATGCGGATTGATAAGATATAGTGATTAGAAGATTTGAGTTTGTGGCAAAAACTCATTTCCTTTACAATTGTTTTCAGATGGGTAAAAATGCTCTGTGTCTGGTTAAAACAGATCCACCTGTACAAATTACTTTAGTTTCTTTGTTTTCAAAAGTCCGAAAAAGTGTGTTTGTCAAAGGAACTTTAATTTATTTCCAACATATAATTTTGTTACAGGTGGATCCGTCTCGACTCTACTGTATCTCACCTCAAGTTCACAGGACGTCAATATGGCTCACTTAATTGGAAACGTATAATTATTTAAACTTTTCTACCTTCTGATTTGTTTATCATTTGCAAATCTCCAATGATTTACGAGACATGTTTAACCTGGAATGATGATTTTAGGAAAGTCAGCAAAGAGTCTTCCTAGAATGATAGGTCTCTAAAATAGTTTTACTTTTTCTTACTGTTTATTGAAGAGCCAGTTGTGAGCCATGATCATAGCAGTGTTGATTTGTGATGTTTTGTTTGATCCTGCAGCCCAGTCCAGTTCATGACTTAGTCCTAGTTACTATAATATACTTTTAGTATTAGTTTTACAAAGTATATGTCTAAAAGTAAAAGAAATATTCGAGAACTGATTTGCAGAAATAAAACTGAGTTTTTGCCACAAACTCAAATTTTTAATCCTGATATCTTTGATATCGTAGACTTTCAAACTATGAATTATGTTAGATCAATTAGAAACATCAAAGGTTTAGACCATCCTGTTGCAAAGATTAAGGGATTAAAAAATTTGAGAACTTAGTTCCTTTAGTAATTTTTTAAATAAAAAAGATTTCTTCTCTTGTGATTTTTGCTTTTTCTTGAATTACATTGGAGTAAGCGTAATTCTTTTCAATAGTTAATTTAACCTGAAACAAAGAGCAAATTAAAACTTCACTTGATTTACATATACATTTAGCCTGTTTTAAACATGATAACATCCCGAAAGATATAAATTGACTTGTAGTCTATTTATTTATACACTCCTAAAAAGTTTGGGACGCATTATTTCTTCTGGAAGCTTCATGGGCTTAGGTCTTCAACCCACATCATGCATCAAAGACATTAGATCTGAATATCCAGAGCAATGGTTACAAAAACCTTGGAAATTCAGGGGTCCATATAATTCCCAAAATAGCTGATTTTCTCGATCCCAAAATAACTTTTTGTCCCCAACTTAAAAAAATGCCCCAAATTGTAAAAAATGCCCCCAATTGTAAAAAAATGCCCCCAATTAAAAAAACATTTTCAAATTCCAGTAACACATTTGCCCCCATTGCACCCCAATTTAAAAAAATGCCCCCAATTAAAATTTTTTTTTCAAATTCCACTAACATATTTGCCCCCATTTGCCCCAAATTTAAAAAAAAATGCCCCCAATTAAAAAAATATTTTCAAATTTCACTAACACATTTGCCCCCATTGCCCCCAATTATAAAAAAATTGCCCCCAATTAAAGACATTTTTTCAAATTCCACTAACACATTTGCCCCCATTTTCCCCCAATTTAAAAAAAAATGCCCCCAATTAAAAAAAAATTTCAAATTCCACTAACNATTTGCCCCCAATTGCCCCCAATTTAAATTTTTTTTAAAAATTCCACAAACACATTTGCTGGGAATGGGAAAAAATGCCCCCAATTTAAAAAACATTTTCAAATTCCACTAACACATTTGCCCCCATTTGCCCCCAATTATAAAAAAATGCCCCTAATTAAAAAAAAACGTTTTTATATTCTACTAACACATTTGCCCCCAATTAGGAAAAAAATGCCCCCAATTAAAAAAACATTTTCAAATTCCACTAACACATTTGCCCCCATTTTAAAAATAAATGTCCCCAATTAAATAAAAATGCCCCCAATTTTTTTTTTAAATTATCATTTAAAACAAAAAATTGCCCCCGTTTAAAAAATTTGCCCCCATTTCTTTCAAATTTTTCAATCCCATATAGAATTGAAAAAGGAATTATATGAACCCCTGTAGAAATTTATAATTTCATTTTTCCCCCAGGACTCCATTTTGGTTTCAAAATATCACTCTCACATTGTTACCAAGAATAAGCATTCTAGTTTCTTTTGAGAACAAAATTACCGAAATTAATTAACATGCTTTGTGTTTTCCTGAAATATGTGTATTGTGTAATGCTATTTAGTTCCAAAATAATAACAAAATTTAAGAATTTAAACAAATTGAAAATAAAAAATAACTAATTTTTTTAAATTCTGAAAAACAACCTTTTCAGCCGTATTTTTAAATTCCTTCAAATCCATGGATATACAATTCATCATGTTAACAATAACCAAACTAATTCACTTTTTCTCTCTTCTCATGAAGATGTGTTATGATCTCAAAAAGTCCTACTGGAAAAACTGTTCTAGATTTACTTTACCATTTGTTAAGATTTAAATTTTATGAGAATGCTTTCTCAAAAATACGTCATTTCGTAAGGAATTAAAAGTTACAATGTGTACAATGTACAATAAACATGGAGACACATAAAAATGTAAACAAAGATAATTGTTGTCAAATAACACCTTCTCTTTGAAAAGTGTTCATTGACGATAACAGCAAAAAAGTAGCTTTCATTCTATTAAAATAATCGCAAACCAATTTATAAAAAAAAAACTAGCCATTTAGGGCGCTTCGGCGCCCATCTTCTATTTTAATTGTGAACTTGTTCTCTTTGTGTGCATCGTAAAACAAAACAAAAAAATTTTCAAAAATTTTATGAAAATCGAATTTTGATGGGAGACAAATATTTGAAATTTTGATTATTCATAAACTTTCCCTGGAGCCCAGTATGTTCCACACAAAATTTGGGCCTGATCGGTTCAGCCGTTTTGACGTTTATTGGATACAGACACCCAGACAAGCTAACTTGTCGGTATTGTCGGTATTAATAAGGTAAACGGTCTTGGTATAGGTTATGATCAAATCGATCTTGGAAACTTACTCTCTAATTGTAAAAGTATACATTTTTATAACGAAAACATTTATTAAGATAATGACCAGAATTTTTAGGAAATTGTTAACTAATCACAAAAATTACTTAACTATTTTTATACATTTTATACAATTTACTTGACAACATTTGTATACTGAGAATATTGTTTAATAAATATAAAGATTTTGCTCATTTTTTTATTGTCGTTATTATGAATCAGGTTTTTTGACAGTTTTTTTGTGGAATTGAGAATAATGAAAATCATAAACATTTATTTTAATTGTTAACCAATATGGTTTTATAATGTTGCAGCGTATACACAATGACGTATAGAAATAATCAACATCAGATCAAAATTTACAATTTTTTTCATTAAAATTTGAGAAGATATATTTATCTTTATCAGACTTTTAATATCAGGTAGATTTAATATTATCCAGCTCGTATTAAGATCAATTTCTTAATATCAAAATGGTTTAGGCTTTTTCATCTAGATTCTAGAGCTCATGATTAGATTTATATCAGGTTCCACTTTAATATTCTCTGATTGAACAACCCCTGAAAAAAATATAAAAATTATTAATTGGTTTTGATTAACTTTTAAAAAAACATTTTAATTTTTTTTTCTAATTTTACCTGAAATATCTTGTGAATATGATTCATCTGTAATCTCCTCAACATCATTAAACTCATCATCTTCATCAACATCAACATCATCAATATCTTCATCATAATCAACAGCAGTGATCTCTACAGGTTCAAACTCAGGTTCAAGACCGCCAAGATCAATGTGATTGCTCCCGTCATCGTTCTCAAACATTCTCATGTCCTCCATCTCGGTCTCGTCGTCAGATGAGAAGTAATTTTGAGTTTCAGATATCAAGGTTTCAACATCTGGTTCCTGGACTAGGTCTTCAGGTCGCTTGTTTTGATTTCTGAACGACACCTGTTTCATTTTCTTTGTTTGAGCATCAATAATAGATTTGGAGGCGCCTTGGCTCTGCATGACTTCTATGGCCTTCTTCCTTCCTGCAATCTGATCTCCTTCCGGAGTAAGGAAGAACTCCCGGATATTCTTACTGTTAGTGATTACACTGCGAACCTTCCAACCCGGAGGAAGGTTGGGTTCCTCGTCCCAGGTATAGTTTTCCTCTCTCCTAGATCTCTGCTCCTCCTCAATCCATAACTTGACTCTATGGAAATCGTCTTCCGTGTAAGTATCCTTCTGTGCACTGATAAAGTCGAGCACAGCCTTGTTAGACTTGAAGATTTCCATCTGAGGAGAAAGAAAGTAGAATTGCCAGTTATCCTTGAGTCTTTCCTTGGAGCGAACCCTCCAACCCTTGGGTAGACGGTCGTTGTCAGTAACCCATCCTTCAGTTTCTAGAGTGCTCCACATCCTGAAGATTGTTTGTGGTTCATAATCCTCCTTGATCATGTACTCTATTGCTGCTCGCCTACTCTGAAACTGTGCTCCGGTCTCTGTGATTACATAATCCGTCCTGATTCCAGCTTTTATGATTGTTCTATACTTCCAACCCGGCGGAAGGTTTTCATCCTCCAGCCAATCATATTTCTGAGGTCGATTTTTCCTAGTTTCAACCTCTAGTCTCGTTTTAATCCTAGCTATATCCTCTTGAGAGTAAAGTGGACTATTGGTCATATAACTTATCACAGCTTTAGTTGAATGAAACATAATGCCCTCTTTAGACAAGTAATAATAGTTTACATCAAACATCCCGTTTGTACTTCCTTCACTTTTCCGAACCTTCCAACCCTCCGGAAGATGATCGTCGTTCTCCCAACCCTCAAATCTCAACTTTTCTCGCATGCTCTCTATAGCCTCGGCCGGGGCGTTCTCGTTGATCATATGCTGGAGGCCGGACCTCCGGCAGGCAAATTGGCAGCCGTCCTCGGAGAGAAAAAAGGTTTTTTTTGTTTTTCCCTCCACAAACCTTACTTTCCACCCAGCAGGCACAGTCTCATCTCCATCCAACCAATCGTATTTCAACTGTCTAGCTTTTTTTCTTTCTGTCTCCAGGTTGGATATGATTTTATCAATATCTTCTTGAGTGTACTCTTCACTAGCTGCCATAAACTCTGTAGCAGCCTTGGTAGATCTGAAAACAACTGCTTTGTTGTTCAGGATCCAGAAGTCTACGTCATAAATGCCATTAGTGCTTCCCTCACTTTTCCGAATTAACCATTTTTCCGGAAGAAATTCAACTTTGCTCCAACCTTCGTGACTTAACATTTCCCGCATTTCTTCAATTTCAGGCTCGGAGAAATTTTCTTTTATCATGTGTTGGAGACATGATCTCCTACAAGCGAATACACTGGAATCTGGAGATAGATAAAACTTCTTCCGAACCTTGCCATCAACAGTTCTTGTTTTCCATCCAGTTGGTACTGTTGGGTCATCTTCTGTCCATTCATACTTGGTGGAGTTCTGTTTAATTGCTTTGGTTTGGTTCTCATACAATGCACGAATATTTTCCAACTCGGTCTCTTTATACGCGCTATTGTTCTCCATTTCTTCAAGGACAGACTCCAAGGTTTCAAAAACTTCTCCAGCTTCTGAGAGGAACACCATATCACTTTCATTCTCGACCTTGAGCATTTTCCATCCTTTTGGTAGGATACTGTTATCCTCCCAACCCTCGTGCTTCAAGTTCTTTCTCATCTCTTCTATCACAGTTTTATCACACCCGTCTTTAATCAAATGTATCAATGCCTGTAATCGAGTCTCGAACCTAGAACCATCCGGAGCAACTATACAACTGTTCCCTTCCGCTGCGGATAGTTTCCATCCAGTTGGAAGAGTAGATTGTTTTGTTCCTCCATATTTATCCATCCTAATCTTCCTTCTTTCCTCTGCTATAAGAGTACCGAGCTTACTAACATCCTCCTCGGAGTATAGCGGAGAGTTGTGCATCAAGTTCTGTGCTGCTCTAGTAGACCGGAGGAACTGATAGTCTGGAGTTAGATAATTAAAGGTTGCTTCCTCCTCCTTGTGTTTGTCTGGTTTAAGCAACCATCCATCTGGTAGCATTGGTTCTATTTCCCAACCTTCCAGAAGCAATCCGTTCTTCATCTTCTCGACAGCATCGTTAGGAAATATGTTAACTTTTGCCATATACTTCAAGGAATCTATTCTTGAGGAACAAAATCTTCCGTCTGGTGAGAGATACCGTTTACTCTTTACAATCTTTCCAAAGGAGTTGACAGTTATCATTGTTGTCTTCCATCCGTCAGGAACAGACGGATCATTTTCATTCCAATCATACTGTGTCTTAGTTGGAGTATCTCCAGAGCAGCGGAACTTACAGATTTCATCCTTGGAGTACATTCCACAGTTGCTGATGAACTCCATGGCGGATTTCTTGCCACGGAACATTTTACCCTCCGGAGACATATACCACTGCATGGGAATAACTCCATTTTTAGTTTTCATGTCAGTCGTTCTACATTTCCAACCTGCCGGTAGGTCAGGATCATTGTCGACCCATTTAATTTTAAACCCGCTTTCCATTTTTTTAATATCTTCCGGTGTGAACTCCCCTTTCTTCATGTACTCCACAGCTTGCTTTCTACCGGAGTAACTACTGCCATCTGGAGCAAGGAAGAAATGTCGTTCTAATCCATTAGTGCACACAACCGTTCTATACTTCCAACCCTTAGGTAGAGTATCCTTACACTCCAACCAATCATATTTGTCCGGGCACAACTTTTTAGCCTCAGCATTCACTTTCATCTCCAGCTTGGCCACATCCTGAGGATGGTACTGGTCCGGTCTGGTTAGCATGTATTTTACCGCGGATTTAGTTGAATCAAATTGCTGGAACGTGTCTGCTAGATAATGGTAGCTAGCTGTAGCTTCATTGATCTTATCCTTTCTAGGTTTCATAAACCAATTATTCGGCAACTTATCATCTTGTCTCCAGCCATCCATGATCAAACCACCCTTCATGATTTCTATATCTTCAGCTGTAAATATTCCTTCCCTAGCCATATACTTGAGAGCATCAATCCTGTTGGAGCAATAACGTCCGTCCGGAGCTAGGAATCGCATACTTGGGACGATTTTACCAAATGAGTTCATCTGTATCACAGTAGACTTCCAACCTGGAGGAATATTGGGATCATCTTCCAACCAATCATATTCCTTACTGAACTTTTTCTCTGCAGCAGGTTTACTCTTGAAGTTTCGAATATCTTCGTTAGAATAATCCTGACTTGATTCGAGAAACTTGAGAGCAGATTTCCGTCCTCGGAATATTTTTCCTTCTGGAGATCTAAACCATTGCATTTGTGTGATACCTGCTTTAGTTTTAATATCTGTAATCCTCGTCTTCCAGCCTTCCGGCATTGTGGGATCATCCTCACCCCAGAACACCTTAAGCCCGCTCTGCATCAGCTCCATATCCTCAACAGAGTACTCGTTAGACGACTCCATGTGCTCCAGAGCAGCTTTACGTCCTGCAAAGAAAATCCCAGTGGGAGATGTAATGTGTTTTACGTTCTGTCCACCTTTGTTTGTGTACTCTTTAGTTTTCCAACCTTCAGGGACTGATGTATCATCGTCAACCCAACCTTCGTCCTTGGCCATCGCCGGTCCATCCTTGGAGTCTGACAAAGATGCCCGAGAATTTTTGCGTCCTGTCTTGGTTGGAGTGGATTTTCTGCTTGAAGTCTTTCTAATCCGGAGTTTTGGAACAAACTCCATATCCTGATCATCATCATCTTCATCATTCTTTTCAATCTTGAAACAAGTTTCTGAATCTTCATCATAGTCGCTCATAGCTTCCTCTTTAATGTCTTCGTCCTCCTTTTTGATCTTTTTCGTAATTTCCTTAGATTCCGGAACATATTTCCGTTTTGCTGATCCGTCCTCTCCATCCATCCCCCATCCCTCCATCTTGACATCCATCTGTTCCATATCCTCTTCATACCCTGACAAATCCAAGTATCAAAATCATATGTACAAAACCAGATCTGGTAAGTTGTCCAAAAAAGTGTAAATTTGTAAAATATATTTAAAGAAACTGTAAGCGTAATTTAAAGTGACCCTCCATGCAAAGATGGCTATGTACCACTTTAGAAATGATTAATTCTAATAATTCCTTTATGTTTTCCTTCAGTAGAAATACGCAAGTCACTTTTGTAAAGAACCCACAATTGAAAATACTCACTTTTCAAAATTATAAACATTGATATCTAACTCATACTAGATCAGACAAGCTATAGAGGATACCGTTGTGAATCGGACATTGCCATTTTTGCATTGATGGTCACTTGAAATAACGATTACAGTCCCTTTAACAGTCTGTATTTTTCTTACCTCCTTCCATAATTTCTATCTCTTCGTCCGTATAAAGTCCTTCCTTGACCATATACTTTATTGCTTCATCCCTACTGGAGCAAAATCTCCCGTCTGGAGCCATAAATCGTTTACTCTGAACCAGCTTTCCAAAACTATTCATCGTGATGACAGTAGTTAACCAACCTAAATATTATAATATTAAACCTAGATAATAAAAATATTAAACCTAGATAATAAAAATAATAAACCTAGACATTGTAATAATACACCTAGATACATCATAACATTAAGCATATATATTAAAATATTAAACCTAAATATTGAAAAAGTTAACTTGGATTTTATAATATTAAACCTGTATTTTATAATTGTAAATCTATATATTGTAATAATGCAAAGAAACTTTAAAAGACTAAGTCTAAAATCCTTTGTTATAATTATTCCTTATACTCTGCACTGTTGCATGGACTTTCCGCCAAAAGCTTTAAAACACACACAAAAGAAATTTTCAAAAAGTTTGTAAAATGTATTTTTTTAGATTTGTATAAATCCTTTACCTGGAGGAACTGATGTATCCTCGCCCCAGGTATAGTTCGTCTTCTTATTCTCCGGGATAACGAACTTGAACCTGCGTATCTCTAGGGTAGAGTATTGACCACTGCTCTGAATCTCCTCTAGAGCTGATTTCCGTCCTCGGTACATTTTCCCATCAGGGCTGAGAAACCATTGCATAGGAACCTTCCCGGTCCTCGTGTTGATCTCGGAGGATCTAGTTTTCCAACCCGGAGGCAGGGTAGGATCCTCCTCTGTCCAAACAATTTTACAACCACTCTCCATCCTCCGAATATCGTCCGGACTCCCTCCACCAGTCTTTAGATATTCAAGTGCCTGCTTTCGTCCTTAAATATACAGAATCAAATAATGCTGGTTTTCCTTGATAACCATTTAAAATAAAATGTACGTGATAACCTAAAATGTACAATAAATTATTACATTTTTTGATTCATTCTAAACTTATTCGACCAAATTTAGAAAGATTTAGACCAAATTTGGATAATTTTTATTGATTTATTTTGTACATCTACAAGTTTGAGTAAAAGGTTCCAATTTACAAAATGTTTTTAAACATATCTTGCTCATATTTCATTATGTGTATTTCTTGTATAAATTATTTGCTATTTATATTTTTAAATGAATTTAATTAAATACTCAAGTTTTGCTGACTTTTTTTAACTGCCTATTAAAGCAATCCAAGCTATATTACGAGTATTTCAAACCTGAGAAACTGCTCCCGTCCGGAGAAAGAAAGAATTCTCGATCCAACCCGTTAGTGCAATGCACAACCCGTATCTTCCAACCATCAGGAACAGATTCATTTCCTTCCATCCAGTCGTATTTATCTGGACGGAGTTTCTTTCCTTCATCCTTAGTTAACTTCAGCAGATTATCAATATCATCCTTAATACAAAAAATAAGTTAACTATTTAACTAAGAAGTAAGGACTAGAGGGGATTAAATGTCGTCTTCGAGATTCGTCAATTTTTATAATATTACATATTTTACAGTGTACGCCTCAAGAAGCTAAGAAAGTTTCATAAAGTCTGAATGTTTAAAAATATGTCTGAATGTCTGTTAATTTGTCAGTAATTATATGAATTAGTCTGAATTCTGTGTATAAATCAAAAATTGTTTTTATATGTCTAAGATCTTTGAATGTTTTATTACATCTGAATAAGATAATATAATTATATAAGTATTTATTTAGATAAACAGGAATGCTTCTGCTGCTATTGTAGATCTATGATGCTGCATATCTGCATATTTACCTGGTTATATCTAGGATCTGCGGACAGGAATGCTACTGCTGCTTTAGTAGATCTATGATGCGACATATCTGCATATTTACCGGGTTATATCTAGGATCTGCGGACAGGAATTCTACTGCTGCTTTAATAGATCTACGATGCGACATATCTGTATATTTACCTGGTTATATCTAATATCTGCTGACAGGAATGCTTCTGCTGCTATTGTAGATCTATAATGCGACATATCTGCATATTTACCGGGTTATATCTAGGATCTGCTGTCAGGAATGCTACTGCTGCTTTAGTAGATCTATGATGCGATGCTGCATATCTGCATATTTACCTGATTATATCTAGGATCTGCTGTCAGGAATGCTACTGCTGCTTTAGTAGATCTATGATGCCGCATATCTGCATATTTACTTGATTATATCTAGGATCTGCTGACAGGAATGCTACTGCTGCTATTGTAGATCTATGATGCTACATATCTACATATTTACCTGGTTATATCTAGGATCTGCTGACAGGAAAGCTACTGCTGCTTTAGTAGATCTATGATGCTGCATAACTGCATATTTACCTGATTATATCTAGGATCTGCTGACAGGAATGCTACTGCTGCTTTAGTAGATCTATGATGCTGCATATCTGCATATTTACCTGATCATATCTAGGATCTGCTGACAGGAATGCTACTGCTGCTTTAGTAGATCTATGATGCTGCATATCTGCTGACAAATAGTTGTAATGAGCTTCCTTTCTCTTTCCTCGACATCGGTCAGGTTTCATAAACCAATCCTGATGTTAACATGTTATTAAATCAATAGATAATCTGAACTTTTTGTTAAAACTACTTTGAGATGGAGACGTTTGAGATTTTTTTCAGTTTTTTTTATCTTTTTTAAAGAAGGAATTAAAATGTTTCCTAATCTTAAGTGCCAAACAAAAATTACAGCCTTTGTGTCTACCTATTTTCATAATAAATGTACTATCAAAAGACCAATCATTTCGTGAAAAAAAAATGAACAAACTAACAGAAACGAAATTTTAAAGAATAATATACCTGAGGTAAAAACGGACTACTCAACCATCCGTCAGATATTAATCCTTCTCTCATTGTGTGCAATTCTTCCCGGTTCATTTCTTCTTCTTTCATTAGGTACTTGATAGCTTCAACACGGCTCGTACAAAACCTGACAAATGAATATTGAATATGAATAGAAATCAATTTGTCAAAATACTGGAACATATTCTTTTTTTTTAATTCACCAAATTTTTTATTCTTAAATCTTGATTTTCTCCGAAGTAAGAAACTGATGTGGAAGATGAAAACTTTTAACGGAGCTGAACAAGTTTAACTGATTTTTTACCCAGTGGGAAGATGCAAATAAAATATTTTTTTTAATTAAACTGAGCTGGGAACTTTAAAATGGTGGATATTAGGATTAATGCTTAATCCTCTCTTTTTGCTAATCTCGAGACTAATATAATCTCGAGATTATGTTAGTCTTGAGATTAGTTATTTAGATCAATAAATTTTATTCTGGGAACGCCAGATTTGTTCGTTTTCTAAAGGTCCCAGCTCTGATCTCTGATTTGTAAAATCTTCTAAAATTGGATCAATGAAATATCCCTCGAGATTGAGTTTAACTTATTTCACTCCATCCCTTTAAAAGTTTCCTGCTCAGACAACCAATTTACTTAATATAAATCCTAACCTGCCGTCTGGAGCCAGAAAGCGAGTGCTCTCAACAATTTTCCCAAAAGAATTCATATTAATGATTGCACTCCGCCATCCTGGCGGTATTGTTGGGTCGTCTTCTCTCCAGTTATACTCGGCACTGAACTTCTTGACAGGTACTGGCACGCTTTTAAATTTGCGGATTTCCTCATCAGCAAAGCTGGAAGGGTCATTCTAAATTCGGACAAAAACTAATCATTTACAAATTTGTATTAGCGCATTTCTTTCTACGCTTTTTTGCACAAGTTAAATTTTTATTTCTGTTAAGAATCTAATAAATAATTTTAGAATTAAATTACCTTAATTGCTTTTAATATGGCTTTCTTCCCTCGAAACATTTTGCCTGAAGGGGAGAGAAACCATTCCATATTTGTGATCCCATTCTGAAAATAGTTTATTAAGGAAACTTATTAACTAATAATTATATCCAATGGCATGCAAAGATTCAAGACCAGTGTAGAGATAGATAATCCAACGCAGATATGACAAAATATGTAGTAATATTCTTAGTTCTTTAGGTTCTATAACTCTTTTTCAACAGTGAGATCCAGAAGACTGTGGAATAGAAAGACGACATTAAAGAAAAAGTTAGTGTATTTGATGTTGTTACAAAGCAAATGGTTTACAAGTAAATTTTTAAATCCTCCATGAAGTAAAATGGGTCTGTTTACACTGCACAATTTCTGTATCATTGGACTATTTAGAGTCAAAACTTGAGTCTAAATGTCGTCTTTTTATTCCAGAGGTTTATGGTACCCACTGTATATACTCTTAATATTTATTGGTGACATTTCATCTACTTAGATCTCATAATGTAGAAAATTCTGAAAGAGTGATATTTAATAATGGATTTGACAAACATTTTACAAAAGAGGGAAGCTTAAAATCATTACATAAATTGCAATCCTCAAAGGGACTGTAAAGGTAAAACGAACGGGGGTAAAGGCTGAAACCTAAGCATTTCAGGAGTTATCGAGACCCCTTAGAGTTCTATCTGATGTTCCTGTCTCGAAAAATTGATTAAAAACTGTGTCAAATTTATACGAAAATTTAAATATATAGAATTTGTAAATAACCGACACATGGTTGATGTTAAAAATCATAGAACTTTAAACTTGGAAAAATTTAATTCTTACATTTGTTTTAATTTTTGTAGATCTAGTTTTCCAACCGGGGGGAACAGAGGGATGGTTCTCCAGCCACCTAATCTTTAACCTGCTCTGCATCTGCACAATGTCGTCGTCAGAGAACCCCTGCCCTTTCATCCACTCCATGGCAGCTCGTCTTAAAAAAAGGATCCAATAAATTACTTAATTGATGATTAATCAACAGAATAGACGACCGTCGACCAAGGAAAAAATTAGGTCAAATAGTCGCCAAAATGAAAAAGAATTAAATATTAAAAATGATAAAAATTGGCCAAATTTGTAATTTATCCCTTTTCTCTCCTTGACCTTTACTCACCTTCCTGGGAAGAAAACTCCTGAAGGACTTTTCACATGTTCCAACTTTTGTCCGTTCTTTGTCAAGAACTCTCTAATAGTCCAACCCTGGAATATAATAATTTAGGTACACTCAGACACGACCTACAGGAAAAGTGTTTTCTTATGTCCTCACCGTCCTTTTCGTATCCCTTCCATATTTTAACCATGATCCCTTTCATATCCTAACCATATCACATCTCTATCCTAACCATGTATCCCATAGCCCCTTCATATCCTAACCATATCACATCTCTATCCTAACCATGTATCCCCTAACCCCTTCCTATCCTAACCATATCACACCCCCCTTTCTCCCATCCTTACCCTCCCCCCGATCTAATCCTCCGATACTGCGTGCTCTAGGTTACCTCCGGAACTGATGGATCTGGTTTCCACTCCGCGTCCTCTCCTCCTGGTATATCTCCTGAACTGAGGTCGGAGTCATCAACCTCCACATCCTCTTCATCCTCTATCTACAGATATAAACGGTTTACTTAAGTATCATGCAGGATTATCATACGAGCCACATTAAAGCCCCCTCCCCTCCCCATATTTGATTGCCAATATCAAGACAGAGAGAATTATAGAAAATTATCAAAGTAGAATTACAATAGAAAAATAGTTTAATAATTTATTATAGAATGACACCCTTCCCCCCCCCCCTTTTGTTTGTCATACCTGAAATGCTCCATAGATTCCCTCTTCCATATTAGAATCCTCATTATATGAGTCTGATGGATCCAGGACGGATTCCATAAAACTATCCTCGGAGTTATACTCCGACTCCATCCTTCTCGAGATATACACTCCACCACTGAGAATTCTAACCTTGATTAATGATTATTCATTGTATCGTCTGAAACCAGAAATTAATATTAAACATCGAGATATTTAGTTTCAATAAATTACATTAGACCAGTTAGCTGAAACCAGATATTTAAATGCTTCACAAGAAGAACAATTTCATCATGAGAGGTTTAATAATTGTATATTTTATCATATCAATTTATTTGTCCATCTATTTATCATTGAATATCCATATTTTCTCCACTGGTTCCAAAATTTAGTGTTTTGAAAAGTTCGAGTATTTCCATAATAAGTCATTATGTACCTATAGGATGAGACTTTACGAGACGACTGTAGGGAATTTATACTGTCTTTTTTATATTTATGATTCACTGCAACTATAAAATTGTTTTTCTTTCTATGCTATCAATGCTATCATAAAAAGTACATTAAAAAAAACAAAATTCAAGCAGAAAACTTAATTTTACTCGGAGAATGTCAAATTTAAAGAGTTTTTGGTCGTCTTTAGAGCCTCATCCTTTGTATGTAACCCTGTATATTATATACCTTTCCTTACGCAATATCTAATAAAGAACAACTATAGTAAAAAAACATGGATTAAGTCTCATATTTTCAGTTTTTTTAAAGATAACTTTCAACATAGAAATTTTAGGCTAAGATATATATTACTAACCTAACACAAACAGCCCATGCCCACATGCTCGTGTTAAATGTGGTTACACAATATTCAATGTTTACCAGTGTTCTGTACGGTGATAGGGAAGGATTAGTAGGTAAGAGCTACACGGGCACTATCATCACTGTTAATAGTTACAAGGGGTAGAGAGGATCACCTTTGGTTGGAAGGAGAGGGAAGGGGGGGGGGCTTCACAATTAAAAGTCATAAAGTTTAAAAGAATAAAGCACAGGACAATTAATTTCGATGTTATAAACAAGGTTTGGTTGCTAACTATGCTATCTATGTTTGTCGAGAAAAAAGGAAAAATAATAGTAATTTTAAAAAAAATAGATGATAAATGATAAGACAAATTTTTTTCAGAAAAAAAATAAAAAGGTTAAGCTATAAAGAAAAAAAAAGATGCTGAGTAGGTTTGTGGAGTAAGAAAAGAAGGATTAGTAATAAAAATCAATATATTTTAGCAGAAAGGAAGATACGAAAGATTAGTTATAAATATAAAAATGATAAACAGTTTTTTTATAAGGAAAAGATACTAAGATTTAGTTATTAAGAAAAGAAAGATAATGAGAAAGTTTTCGTCAGAAGTGAAAGATAAGGATTAGAAATAAAGAAATTAAAATAAATAAGTATATTTGAGCAGAAAAAAAAGATTCGAAGGTTTAGTAATTAAGAAAAGAAAGATGATAAATAGGTTTATAAAGAAAAGATGACAAGGTTTAGTTATTAAGAAAAGAAAATAGGTTTATAAAGAAAAGATGACAAGGTTTAGTTATTAAGAAAAGAATGATGATAAATAGGTTTATAAAGAAAAGATGACAAGGTTTAGTTATAATGAAAAGAAAGATGAGAAGAAAAGTGGTTTCCAGAAATGTTTAATAAGAGATAAATATATCTATTGGTTTTGTCTGAATAAGGTATAAGGAGTAAAATCTGTAGGGAGGGGAGGAGTAGGAGGAGAAGAAGGAAAATTAGGACCAGGAAAACAAGAGAAAGCTCTAAACATGTGTTGTATATATTGATATTGAGACTAAACAAAATTAGTGGGAACACGGAGAGGATGATAAAAGGTTTCGTTTGGTCACAAGATACGGTTCTTAGATTATTTAAATATCTTCTTAGTACTCATGGATTAAAGGATCAGGTTCTAAACACGCTAAACTTGATTACTTCAGATATAATTCTAGGTTGGGTTCACAATACTCTCTTCGCTGTTCACACTCACATAATATTGATCTAAGTTGAAGTTGTGTAGGATAGTGTGTATAGAGAACTGTATCCAGGTTGTGTAAGATAGTGTGAATAGAGAACTGTATCCAGGTTTCGTAGGATAGTGTGCATAGATAACTGTATCCAGGTTGTGTAGGATAGCGTGAATAGAGCACTGTATCCAGGTTAAGTAGGATAGTGTGTATAGTAACTGTATCCAGGTTGTGTAGGATGGTGTGCATAGAGAACTGTATCCAGGTTGTATACGATGGTGTGCATAGAGAATTGTATCCAGGTTGTGTACGATGGTGTGCATAGAGAACTGTATCCAGATTGTGAAGGATAGTGTGTATAGAGAACTGTATTTAGGTTGTATAGGATGGTGAGTATTTATAACTGTATCCAGGTTGTGTAGGATGGTGTGTATAGGAAACTGTATCCAAGTTGTGTAGGATACTGTATATATAGAGAACTGTATCCAGGTTAAGTAGGATAGTGTGTATAGAGCACTGTATCCAGGTTGTGTAAGATGGTGTGTATAGAGAACTGTATACAGGTTGTGTAGGATGGTATGTATAGAGAACTGTATCCAGGTTGTGTAGGATGGTGTGTATAGAGAACTGTATCCAGGTTAAGTAGGGTGGTGTGTATAGAGAACTGTATTTAGGTTGTGTAGGATGGTGTGTATATAGAACTGAATCCAGGTTGTGTAGGATGGTGTGTATAGAGAACTGTATCCAGGTTGTGGAGGATGGTGTGTCAAGAGAACTGAATCCAGGTTGTGTAGGATGGTGTGTATAGAGAACTGTATCCAGGTTAAGTAGGGTGGTGTGTATAGAGAACTGTATTTAGGTTGTGTAGGATGGTGTGTATATAGAACTGAATCCAGGTTGTGTAGGATGGTGTGTATAGAGAATTGTATCCAGGTTAAGTAGGATGGTGTGTATAGAGGAGTGGGTCTATGAGCTACGGCCGAACAAGGTTTGATAACCCCAGCTCAGCCTGCAGCTGCAGCTGCTGTCCAGGCAGGCGGAGAGAGAGCAACTAAACCCAGAGTCCGCGGACTGCAGGACAAGGTTCTAGCGTCTCCTCTCCTACATCTCTACAGGGTTCCCGTCATTCTAATCAATAATCCTTCCTCCTACTCCCTCCACTTACTCTACTACAAGGTTGGAACGTCTTCTCAACCTACTCCGCTCTACTAGCAACGACAAGAGAAGAAGATTAAGGTTTCTGATTACTCCGGATGTCTGGTGAGGTTGGGAGAGAAGGAATCCTAGTCACGGTACCTGCTCAGATTCTCCAGGTTTACTTCCACATAACTATACACAGACTCTGGGATAATATATCAATTCAAGGAACTCGGATACAAGAGACCAGAAGAATTAGATGGCGACCAGACAAGACAAGGGGACAGAAGGGAAGGGGGGATGTCTAATTAACTATTAATTTGATTTTATCAATGAGGAATTAAAAAGCATGAAATCAAGACCAATAGAACCAGAGAATAATTAAACTATATAGCAAACATTGGACACTTCTACAAGATATTTTATAAATCATTTCTATGAAAACAATCAAACTAAAAGCTGAAATCGTGAAGTCTTAAAAAAAAACATCTGTATAAATTTATATTAGCGGAAAAACTTGATGATCACGACAAATTTGCCATTAATTCAAAATTACTTTTCCGCTTATTATTTCAATTTGATTTAAAGTTAAATTGACCAGTGGAAGACGACTTACAAATGAATTGATAAAAAATATTAGAATAAAGGCGTGAAGATCGAGAATGAGTTTTTACCGATATTTAAACAGGGTTGAATGGACAGGTTGTATGTATATCAGGTTGTGTATGAAGAGCGGAGCAGGGACTAGTCCTCACTCTCTCTCCTCTCCCTCCCGGACTCCCTGCATCCGTCCTGCTCCAGGCTTTCCCTAGATACAACCTGATACAACCTGATCCAATCCAACTCAGGAAACCTGGAGGATCCTACACACTTCAACCACAGCTATACAATCGATCTAAACCTAGATACATTCTTCTCAAACTAAGATTAAATGCTCTTGACTTCAACTATAAAAAAAGGCATTTGATAGTAAATAGAAAATACTGTACAAGGATGCAAAATAAAAGAAACTACTGTTCACGGATACACGGAGAAGAAACTACTGTACAAGGATTCAAAAGGATTAGAAAATACTATACAAGGATGCAAAGGATTAGAAAATACTTTACAAGGAGACAAGGATAAGAAACTACTGTACAAGGATGCAAAGGATTAGAAATACTGTTCAAAGATACGAAGGAGAAGAAACTACTGTAGAAGGATGCAAAGGATTAGAAACTAAAGAACAGTGATACAAAGGATAAAAAACGACTGTACAATGATTCAAAGGATAAGAAACTACTGTACAAGAATACAAAGAATAAGAAACTACTGTACAAGGATACAAAGGATAAGAAACTACTGTACAAGGATACAAAGGATTAGAAAATACTGTTCAAAGATACGAAGGAGAAGAAACTACTGTACAAGGATACAAAAGATATGAAACTACTGTACAAGGATACAAAAGATAAGAAACTACTGTACAAAGATACAAAGGATTAGAAAATACTGTACATGGATACACCGGATAAGAAACTAAAAAAACAATGAAACAAAGGATAAAAAATGACTGTACAATGATTCAAAGGAGAAACTACTGTACAAGGATGCAAAGGATTAGAAACTATACTGTACAAGGATACAACGGATAAGAAACTACTGTACAAGGATGCAAAGGATTAGAAACTATACTGTACAAGGATACAAAGGATAAGAAACTACTGTACAAAGATACAAAGGATAAGAAACTACTGTACAAGGATGCAACGGATAAGAAACTACTGTACCATACTGTACTTAATCAAAATAAGATCCTACCGTGTATGATGTGGATAAAATATATAAGATAATTCGTTTTTTCTATCATTGAACATTATGCCCTAGTTAATCCCATATAACCACTATCAATCCCTGCCGATTTCCACTCAACCAATTAGATAAACGTAAATTTTTTATTTTTCATTAAAGATTACCCCTTTATGATCTTATCGAACAACACAGTAAATTTAGCTCCTGATAATCTTTTTTTCTTATATGAATAGAAATCATGAATATTTTTTTTAATAACTTGATTCATTCTTTATACTCAAATCAAACACATCTTAAGTTCAATCTATAAGTTCACCCTTAGAAAACTTAGAAGATTTCACTAAGTAATACGTATAGATACATCCTTACTCCACCTAAGTAAATCTTACTTGACCTAGATACATCCTTACTCCACCATAGGTATAATACCATACTCAACCTAGATACATCCTTACTCAACCAAGATATATTCTAAATAAACCTAGATAAATTGGTAATTTCCTAGAGAACGATTTTTACCCCCCCCCCCTCCTCTTAACAAGTGACCAATGCCCGAGAAAATGTACAACATAGAACATAATACGCAATTGAGCATGATTTCTCATGATTTGAAATCTCACTCACTGTAATACTATTGGAATTTTTATGTATTTTAAAATCATTACAGGTTATTTAAAAAAGTATTATATATACGGTTTATGTAATATTATGCAATATTCCAAAGGACATACAACGAATGAGGCCAATCACGACTATAACATGTTAAATAATAAATAATTAAACTTTCTTGTGTCACATTCACTTAAATCACATAAGAACATTAATCAATATTAAGTTAAATATGTGATGAGTGTCGAAGTATGATACCGTGTTCAACAGCGTATCTATGTGATGAGTGTCGAAGTATGATACCGTGTTCAACAGCGTATCTATGTACCCCGACCCCTGTATTTCTGTATACGCACGCTCCTGAAAAGTACACAGTACACGTACTACAAAATAAAATATTTTACATAAGGCGTTAGCTAGTTAGATACAATTTCAAAATAATAATTCTTTAAAAAGATACTACTTGCGGAACTAATATAATATACATAATACGTATAATTTGACCATTTTTATCAAAATAAAGCAAAAATTGATGGAATTTTGATTAAATAAAAATTACAAACATACTGTAAAAAAATACATTAACAGACCCAAAAAAGTGAAAACAGCTATAGTTTAAAAAATAAATTCCAGAAAATATTTAGAAAACATAAAATCTACTCCAACATAATTATAGTTTTAATAACAAAATAATAAAAAATCGTATTTTTAAAACCTAATTCCCTGGTATAGAAGTTACGTATTTATAGATAAAGATACATATTTTTAAAACCTATTTTGAACAATTGATCTTCTGCAAACGTGTTCTAAATAACATCGAAATAAAAATGAAAGAACATGGCTAGTTTTAGTAACTTAAATGATAAAAATTCCTTAAAATTATGCAAAAATTTAGTTTAATACATTTTCTTAACAATGGGGCCCAGTTAATTTCATACGGGCAATGAAACTTTTTATGCTTATTTCTTGAAAACTTTATTTATAAATATGAAAAGTATGAAAATATTAAAAATATTTAAACTTGTGTTGTTTGTTTTCATGTTTCCTAGTTAATATTTAACATAATGAAGTGGTCTGTAATCAGATTCTAAATCTTGTATTCCCCCAGATTCCGCAGCTATGTGCCAGGCACGCTAAGCAAGGAAGGAAAATTTATATTAAAAAATAATGTTGAATCTGCAGAAATATTTTAGTCTCTGCTGATAGGTCCGATGGAGCAGGTGAACCCAACCCTTTCCTAGAGGGGGGGGGGGTATAAGATTTTTTTAAAGATCTGTTCAGTTACTGCATTCAAAATAAGATGATTGAAATAAAATAAATAAGACACAAAGAGTAAAAGTATGACGCCTCAATTAGAAAATAGCATACTACATATCTTGCTGTATCACTACAGTTACTTGATTTGTACTAGTATATGTTAAATTACTGGATTTGTACTAGTATATGTTCAGTTACTTGATTTGTACTAGTATATGTTCAGTTACTTGATTTGTACTAGTATATGTTCAGTTACTTGATTTGTACTAGTATATGTTCAGTTACATGATTTGTAATAGTATATGTTCAGTTACTTGATTTGTACTAGCATATGTTCAGTTACTTGATTTGTACTAGTATATGTTCAGTTACTTGATTTGTACTAGTATATGTTCAGTTACTTGATTTGTACTAGTATATGTTCAGTTACTTGATTTGTACTAGTATATGTTCAGTTACTTGATTTGTACTAGTATATGTTCAGTTACTTGATTTGTACTAGTATATGTTCAGTTACTTGATTTGTACTAGTATATGTTCAGTTACTTGATTTGTACTAGTATATGTTCAGTTACTTGATTTGTACTAGTATATGTTCAGTTACTTGATTTGTACTAGTATATGTTCAGTTACTTGATTTGTACTAGTATATGTTCAGTTACTTGATTTGTACTAGTATATGTTCAGTTACTTGATTTGTACTAGTATATGTTCAGTTACTTGATTTGTACTAGTATATGTTCAGTTACTTGATTTGTACTAGTATATGTTCAGTTACTTGATTTGTACTAGTATATGTTCAGTTACTTGATTTGTACTAGTATATGTTCAGTTACTTGATTTGTACTAGTATATGTTCAGTTACTTGATTTGTACTAGTATATGTTCAGTTACTTGATTTGTACTAGTATATGTTCAGTTACTTGATTTGTACTAGTATATGTTCAGTTACTTGATTTGTACTAGTATATGTTCAGTTACTTGATTTGTACTAGTATATGTTCAGTTACTTGATTTGTACTAGTATATGTTCAGTTACTTGATTTGTACTAGTATATGTTCAGTTACTTGATTTGTACTAGTATATGTTCAGTTACTTGATTTGTACTAGTATATGTTCAGTTACTTGATTTGTACTAGTATATGTTCAGTTACTTGANTTACTTCCTGTCTAGGTATTCTTTACTTCCTGTCTAGGTATTCTTTACTTCCTGTCTAGGTATTCTTTACTTCCTGTCTAGGTATTTTTTACTTCCTGTCTAGGTATTCTTTACTTCCTGTCTAGGTATTCTTTACTTACTTCCTATGTGGCTTTTACTTTCTGTTTATCAAGTCTTCATTACCTGTCTAGATTGCCTTTAATTCCTGTTTTGTAGCGCTAATTTCGTGTTTATGTACCCTTAATTTTTTGTCTTGGTTGCCTTTACTTCCTGTCTAGATAACCTTAATTTCCTGTTTTTGTAGCGTTGATTTTATGTCTAGGTAGCCTCAATATCTTGTCTATGTAGCATCAATATCTTGTCTAGGTAGCCTCAAGATCCTGTATAGGAGGTCTTAATTTCCTGTATATGCATTTTTGATATCTGTGTAGCTTTTACCTCCTGCCTATATGTACCTTTTATTTTGTCTATAGATATCACTATGAACTAAAATATGCACGCTTAAACGTAAAAATCTAAAGAAAAATTTCTAATAATCCTTCAGAAATTCATACCAAAAGCGCATAACAATCTTTGTTATTTTAATAATCAATTTTTTAATTTAGGATGTTATGATAAATTAATGTTTGATTGTGTTTTCTTCTGTTCTAAGTGTGGACTTCCACTTTGCAGTGATTCATGTCCGAAGCTGATCAATCATAGGTTAGTATCAATAGTTGACCAATCATAGGTTAGTATCAATAGTTGACCAATCATAGGTTAGTATCAATAGTTGACCAATCATAGGTTAGTATCAATAGTTGACCAATCATGGGTTAGTATCAATAGTTGACCAATCATAGGTTAGTGTCAATAGTTGACCAATCATAGGTTAGTATCAATAGTTGACCAATCATGGGTTAGTATCAATAGTTGACCTATCATAGGTTAGTATCAATAGTTGACCAATCATGGGTTAGTATCAATAGTTGACTAATCATAGGCTAGTATCAATAGTTGGCCAATCATAGGTTAGTATCAATAGTTAACCAATCATAGGTTAATATCAATAGTTTACCAATCTTAGGTTAGTTTCAATTGTTGACCAATCATAGGTCAGTATCAATAGTTGACCAATCATAGGTTAGTATCAATAGTTTACCAATCTTAGGTTAGTTTCAATTGTTGACTAATCATAGGTCAGTATCAATAGTTAACCAATCATAGGTTAGTATCAATAGTTTACCAATCTTAGGTTATTCAATTGTTGACCAATCATAGGTCAGTATCAATAGTTTAATCATAGGTTATTGTCAATAGTTGACCAATCATAGGATAGTATCAATAGTTAACCAATCATAGGTTAGTATCAATAGCTGACCAATCATAGGCTAGTATCAATAGTTTACCAATCTTAGGTTAGTATCAATTGTTGATCAATCATAGGTTAGTATCAATAGTTTACCAATCATAGGTTAGTATCAATAGTTAACCAATCATAGGTTAGTATCAATAGTTTACCAATCTTAGGTTAGTATCAATAGTTAACCAATCATAGGTTAGTATCAATAGTTTACCAATCTTAGGTTAGTATCAATAGTTAACCAATCATAGGTTAGTATCAATAGTTTACCAATCTTAGGTTAGTATCAATAGTTAACCAATCATAGGTTAGTATCAATAGTTTACCAATCTTAGGTTAGTATCAATAGTTAACCAATCATAGGTTAGTATCAATAGTTTACCAATCTTAGGTTAGTATCAATTGTTGATCAATCATAGGTTAGTTTCAATAGTTGACCAATCATAGGTTAGTATCAAGAATTGATCAATCATAGGTTAGTATCAATAGTTAACCAATCATAGGTTAGTATCAATAGTTAACCAATCATAGATTAGTATCAATAAACAACCAATAATAGGTCAGTATCAATAGTTAATCAATCATAGGTATAGGTTTGTATCAATAGTTAACCAATCATAGGTTAGTATCAATAAACAATAAATCATAGGTTAGTATCAATAGTTGACCAATCATAGATTTATAGTATCAAAAGTTAACCAATTATAGAATAGTGTCCATAGTTAACCAATCACAGGTTAGTATCAATAAACAGCCAATCATAGGTTAGTATCAATAGTTAACCAATCATAGATTAGTATCAATAGTTGACCAATCATAGTTTAGTATCAATAGTTGACCAATCATAGATTTATAGTATCAAAAGTTAACCAATTATAGAATAGTGTCAATAGTTGACCAATCGTGGTTTGTATTTATACTTCAGCAATTGTGATAAAAAATGTTTTTATTTCTTTAGATTAAAGTATTCAGTCCATTAGAATATATTTCTTTAGACCTGAATGTGAGATGTTATCTCCTGCAAGAGATATTATTATTCTAAACTCTGAGATAGATCTCCAACAGGTACAGTGAGACCCATAAACTGTGGAATAGCAAGACGAAATTTTAGTAATGTGTATCAATGAAATAGTTTTACCAGTGAAAATCAATTTATAAATTGAAATGGGTCTGTGTACACTGCACAAAATTGCTGTATTTCATGGTTAAGATTATTTAATGTATAATCCTAACCTAAGTCTAACAGCCTGCTTGTTAAACATTTTATGAAAAAAACGAATTCTTATTTATTCGATTTTGAAAAATTGTTACTTCACTGGACACCCCGGTCCACTATGACCTAATGATACAGTACAAACATCAAATATGAAGTACGCTCTCGGAGTACAAGTGTATGGGGAGGTTTTGTATCCTTAATTTTTCTCAGTTTTCTTAGAACTGATTATTAACGATGAAATATTGCTCTGTAAAATACGTCCTCCATCTCCATTTAAATATTTTCAGAAATCACCCCTGAGTGCTGTAATATACAGATTGATCTTTGGAAGTGAACTACATAGTCTGTACAATTAGTAAAGGATTAGCTCACATCATCACTCTGTATACTATAACCTCGTTGGTTGATCCTCTCGTTCCGATTTTACTCCAAAGTATAAGAAAACGAAATTTATTTGGTCACATATTGTGAATTCCAAACATTTTTGTTCTTCTCAATACTCATCAATAGGAGGAGTTATGATAAAAACATATAAGGTTTCATTCTTACGTGAAATTTACTTTAGTTTGACGTGGTAGAGAACCATTTAAATTTTAAATAAGGATTGCAAAATTTCTGTAAAGGTGTAGTTCTTATTTACACGATCAGATTATTCAGGTTCCACAAATTTATGTACTAGACAATTAAAGTTTTAGAATTCTTTTTAAACTAAAAACTAAAAAGCTCCGAATATTCCTAAACATATTCTTGAAAGAAAAAGATTAAAGTTTTTATATCTTTTAATTATATTATATTCCACGTTTTTTCTATCTGAAAATGGATAATTTTCGATTGCAGTTTCCAGGTAGACGTGAATGGCAGAGACAGGAAATGAAACGATCTCATTTTGAGTTTGAAAAACGACAAAATCCTAAATTTTTGCTTCGTATCTTGCAATCCTCGAACGTTTTCGGAAATAGTAGCAAAGTTTATGATGCAAGAAATAATTTCACTTCTTATTTATTAAAGAACTACATCCCTGGATATTCCCTCTTTTTTATCTATATATATACTTTGCTTATCTGTTGTTTGTTTGTAACCAATAAACGTCAAAACGACTGAACCGATCGGGCCCAAATTTTGTGTGGAACCACACATAACCCCGGGGAAGGTTCATGGAACATAAAAATTGAAAGAAAAAAATCCTGAACTAGTTGAAATTTTTATTTAAAAATGCGCCAATATTAAAGAAAAATCCGCCAAAATTTGAAAACTATTTAAAATGGCCGACTTTCAAAGCAACAAATAAAAGCTGAAATTATTTACAGGAAAGCCTAGTAATTATAAAAATGTGCAAATGAAAAGATGTGAAATAAAATGTTTAAAATAAATTCTCTTAGGTTTATTATTTTGTAACAGTGCTTAGGGCGCTCTGGCTTCGAGAGAATAATAATAAGCAATGGGAAGCAGTTAAGCTGGTATTATTATTATCATTATTATTTTCTTATATTATTTTTTTTTCTATCATTTTTTAATAGCTCAAGTTTTACACAAAATTTTGATTTTCTAGTCTATAAATCATGTTTAATTCTCTAGAATAAATATATAGACTAAAATGTTTTGTGTCGAACTCGAGTATCGTAAATCTTTTACCCTTGAATTCGATTTCCAATGTTGGCAATTTTAAATTTGAATTTGCTTGATCTCTCAATTTAAGTTATCCTTGCAGGGTATAAAAGGATCAAAGAGGAATTAAATTACTCCGTTGATCTTCTGAAGATTGAGATCAATTCTTGATCCCGAGATTTACAAAAGTTCTGACTTAATGCTTTCAGATAGAATATCTAGTAAAATATTTAGTTAATGAGTAACCTGGAGAAAAGAAGAGGCACGAAAATATTTGATTTTAATCAGACCTACGTGGTAGAGACATTACAGGTAACCTCAAATATATAATTTTAATCAGACCTACGTGGTAGAGACATTACAGGTAACCTCAAATATATAATTTTAATCAGACCTACGTGTCGTAGAGACACTACAGGTAACCTCAAATATATAATTTTAATCAGACCTACGTTATATGACATTACATTTAACCTCAAATATACAATTTTAATCAGACCTACGTGGTAGAGACATTACAGGCCATCTCAAATATATAATTTTAATCAGACCTACGTCATACGACATTACATTTAACCTCAAATATATAATTTTAATCAGACCTACGTTTTAGAGACATTTCATTTAACCCACCCACACAGGAACAGACTTCAGAGACATATCACATGCATGATAAGAGTGGAAAAATTAAAAGCCATGATTTTTTGTTTGAAACACCAAATTATGTAAATTTATTTTCACAAAAGAGAAAAAAAAATTTCAAAATTAAACTTTTATGGTATTTTTTTACCCCTAAAATTTTCAGAAAAAAAATATTTATTTTGAGGTTTGTTGATTTTAAGTTAGTTGAAATTTTGAAAATTTTATCCAATCAAAACAATTTTCAATTTTTTCAAATTTTTATTGCCCACTTACTCCGACCCCAGAGCTTTGGAATGACCCTATATCTTTTCTTAAAAGTGGTTAAATAATCTTAGAATAATTTTAAATAATTTAAAAAACTCAGCTTGAAAAAAACTGAAACTTTACATATATTTAACAAAACTATGAACCACAAAACCTACTCCGGAGCAGGGCTTGGAAATTTTAAATGATGTTTTAACTCATAATTTGTTTAAACTCAAACTTTTCAAAAATAGCTAATGTTTAAAAAATCGAAGAGTGCAAAGATAGATTGTTCAAATCTTCAATTACTTCAAACCGGTAAATTGAGGTAAACTCATATCTTTAAAAGTTTTCACCTCTTTAGAACATATATTTATTCAAAGTTTTGACACTTTTACCCGATCTATCCAATATTATTCGATAAAATGATGAAAACTATGTCCCGTGAAATTGGAAAAATAAGAGAAAATATAAAGGAATGAAACCTTATATTCTTTTTCAGCATTTTGGAATACGAGACTTTACAGAAGATCAGATACAGGTAACTTTCATTAAATTAAATAAAAATAAAATTTCAGGGAATTTAACGTTTTTTGTGTATACTTAAAGGTTTTAACCGATTTTAAAGATATTTTGATAATGTTGAAAAGTCCTATTAAGGTTAATTTTAAACCTATTCTGGTTTCTCAGATACTTTTAAACAGAAAAAACGTGAAAAAACGATTATATACTCTCTTAATTTTTTCACCTGAAATACTTTAATTAGGACTAAAAAAAACGTTTGAAACTACCGAATTATTTAAAAAGTTTAAGATCGATGAATTACAATAAATGTATGTCAGTTTAAATTAATAACTTTTTACAAGTTTAAAACTTGAAATATTTTAGAGAAATGAAAAGAAAACTTGTTAATTAGCCTAATTAGAAGTCGGGAGTTCTAGGTGCAAACAACGGGATTATTTCTCATCTATATCTACATATATGTACTTTGCTTGTCTGTCTGGGTGTTTCTCTGTTTGTTAGTATCAATAAAAGTTAAAACGGCTAAACCGATCGTGCCCACATTTTTTGCAGGACCTCTCGAGTGACCCCATGGAAGGTTAATGGAAAATCGAAGTTTCAAAAATTTGCCTCTAACAAAATTTTATTTTTGAAATTTTAAAAATCCACGAAATTTTTTTTTATAAAATCCGTGAAATTTTTTGTCTGTTTTGTTTTGTAATGTAATTTTTTTGTGGGACCTCATATGGTCCCAGAAAATGTTTATGGATGTTAAGAATCCACAAAAAAGCGACAATTAAAAGTTAAAATCAAAGAAGGTCGCGAAGCCTGGTTAAAAATGTCTAGTAAGTACAATTGCGGTTTTCTGAATTGCTAAATTATCGCTTTCTAAAATAGTTTTCCCGTGATCCTTCTTGATGATATAAATACATATCATTGTGTTCGATCTATTGATATACATACAGATCATTGTTAGATTGCTTCTTAAACATTTGTTTTATTCTGAACAAAAGTGTCATCATTTTCGTTTATTCCATGAACGTTTCAAGTAGATGTATATATAAATGCAAGAAATAAAATTTATAAATATAAGTAAGTTATTTTTTCAGGAAATTTGTGGAATATTTGATTCAAATGCTTACGAGAGTTCTGGACCTTCAAGAGTCTCCTGCAGAGGTGAAAGCTGATGGTGCATCTTCCACCTACGCACATCTACTATACCACGCTTATGACCTAAGCAAAATCCACTATACTACACTGCTGACCTAATCGCATTTGGTTTACAGCTGCTAGTTGGATAAGTGGTCGCAGCGCGCGGCCCCCTAGCCTGTCTTAGCCGCAGCGTTCGTCCCATAAATTGTCTTAACCTAGGCTTACCCACAAATAATACAAAATAAAAATCTGTTTTAGGTCGGATATTGCAGTAGGTTGGAAGGGAATTGAGTCTTTGTAACAAACTTTGATTTTCTAATACCTATATTTTTTATTTATGGTGTAAACCATTGATATTTCAAACTTAGATTTTTTCATAGTTTGTGACAAAGACTCAATTCCTTTAGTAATCAGAAGTTCAGTAGAGGGGATTTTGCCTATAGACGATGAAACATTAACCTAAAAAATATTTTCCCGCCAAAACAGGGTTAAAAAGAAAAAGGGGCATGCCTAATTTACAACGGAGCCCTTTAAAATGTTATCTAATACAAATCTGAAGATAACGTCGTTGATAAGTGTTTTGTTCTTAAAGATCCTCCATTCAGTTTTAAAGTTGAGAAATAGATATCTCTTTATTCTTGATTTTACATACCTTTTCGGGATATCGTTGTGAATCGGATCTGCAGCTCTACAGAAATAGATGGTAATTTCGAGGTCAAACCTTATAGAAATCCAACGTATAGAAACAGCTACGTATAGCAACAAGGCGTATTTTCCGGGAGAACATTTTTTATAGGTTTGACTTCGGTAATGTCACTAGTCTCTTTACACTTATTCTTTAAAGAATACCTCTGACAACTTTTCTCATGTTGTTTAGGGAATTTTAGTTTAAAAATTTAAATTTGCCAGCTTTTGGTTTTACTATACGGACTCTTTTTTTAAGAACAGTCTTTAAAAAAATTTCCATTTTCTTTTATTCTAAATTTTCCATTTTCTGTTCATGAATATTTAAAGAATGAAACTCCTAACTTGAAATATTTTAATATCTAAAATACAAAGTTTTCATCTAGGTTTGTTTTTAGTTTTTTTTTTCTCCAAAAAATTATTTTTGTAGGACTGTACTTAATAGCGAGCATGATGAATTCTTCCTGCCTACCCAACACTAGACATTTTTTCAGGTTATTTTTATTAAACAGAAAATTTTTGTTTAGAACTAAAAAAAGTCATTTTTACTATTTTTCTCTGTGTTTGACTTATAAATACAATAGTATAATTTCTATAATGTCTCCTGAAAAATTAGTAAATGTTTATATATCAACAGAATATTTTAAGAGTTTCATGTCGTCTTTACAGTCTCATCCTTGAGGTTAACCCTGTATGTTATTTGACATGAATTTTTTCTAAATTTCTGTTTTGAAAGTAAACTTTTCTGATTAAAAATTACTACATTTTTTTGTAAATATAAATTAATAACCCTGAAATAGGAAGCTTAGCTAGCAATGAATCATAATTGGCTTCGAAAACGACATCATAAAAATTCTTTCATTAATTTTATTTTACACTGTACCAACAGAAAAACACACCCGGCACCCTTTTGAAAGAGCTATTTAGAGGTTCTGGTGAGGTGGTTCTAGTGTGTACCAGACCTATATCTATATATTCATAGGTTCTAGTGAGATGGTTCTAGCGTGTACCAGACCTATATCTATATATTTAGAGGTTAAAGTGAGATGGTTCTAGTGTGTACCAGACATATATCTATTTATTTAGAGGCTGTGGTGAGATTGTTCTTGTTTGTACCAGACATATATCTATATATTTAGAGGTTATAGTGAGATGGTTCTTGTTTGTACCAGACATATATCTATATATTTAGAGGTTATAGTGAGATGGTTCTAGTTTGTACCAGACATATATCTATATATTTAGAGGTTCTGGTGAGATGGTTCTGGTCTGTACCAGACATATATCTATATATTTAAAGGTTCTGGGGAGATTTTTCTAGAGTGTACTAGACATATATCTATGTATTTATAGGTCCTGGTGAGATGGTTCTAGTGTGTACCAGACCTATATCTATATATTTAGAGGTTCTGGTGAGATGGTTCTAGTGTGTACCAGACCTATATCTTCATATTTGGTTCTGGTGAGATGGTTCTAGTGTGTACCAGATATGTATCTATATATTTAGAGGTTCTGGTGAGATGGTTCTGGTCTGTACCAGACATATATATATATATTTAGAGGTTCTGGTGAGATGGTTCTGGTCTGTACCAGACATATATCTATATATTTAGAGGTTCTGGTGAGATGGTTATAGTGTGTACCAGATATGTATCTATATATTTAGAGGTTCTGGTGAGATGGTTCTGGTCTGTACCAGCCATATATCTATATATTTAGAGGTTCTGGTGAGATGGTTCTGGTCTGTACCAGACATATATCTATATATTTAGAGATTCTGGGGAGATTTTTCTAGAGTGTATCAGACATATATCTTTATATTTAGAGATTCTGGTGAGATGATTCTAGTGTGTACGAGACCTATATCTAAATATTTAGAGATTCTAGTGAAATGGTTCTAGTGTGTACCAGACATGTATCTATATATTTAGAGGTTCTGGTGAGATGGTTCTAGTGTGTACCAGACATATATCTATATATTTAGAGATTCTGGTGAGATAGTTCTAGCGTGTACCAGACATATATCTATATATTTAGAGATTCTGGTGAGATGGTTCTGGTGTGTACGAGACCTGTTTATCAAGGAGCAGAAATTCTAGGAACGAATCAAACCTTACATTTATGGAAATTGTGAATTGTCGAGTTTATCTATAAATGTAAACAAATAATAAACAAACAAACAACCTGAAGAAACAACTAGTAAACATTATTGGATGTTACTTTAGTAAGTAATCAAAGTACCCACAAAGGATTAGACTTTATAGAGACTACGGTAACAATAGTTCCGTGATCTTATATTTTGTAGGAAACCCTGCATATATTTTGTAGGAAACCCAGCATATATTTGTAGGAAACCCTGCATACATTTGTAGGAAACCTTGCTCATATTTTGTAAGAAACCTTGCGTATATTTTGTAGGAAACTCTGCGTAAATTTTGTTGGAAACATTGCGTATATTTTGTAGAAAAACCCAGCATATATTTGTAGGAAACCCAGCATACATTTGTAGGAAACCTTGCGCATATTTTGTAAGAAACCCTGCGTGTATTTTGTAGGAAACCCTTCGTATATTTTGTAGAAAACCTTGCGTATATTTTGTAGGAATGTAAATTGTGTAAATTATGTTTGACACATTGCGTATATTTTGTAGGAAACCCAGCATATATTTGTAGGAAACCTTGCGTATATTTTGTAGGAAACCTTGCGTATATTTTGTAGGAAACTTTGTGTAAATTTTGTTTGACACATTGCGTATATTTTGTAGGAAACCCAGCATATATTTTGTAGGAAACACAGCATATATTTGTAGCAAACCCAGAATATATTTGTAGGAAACCTTGCGTATATTTTGTAGGAAACCTGCGTAAATTTTGTTGGAAACCTTGCGGATATTTTGTAGGAAACCCAGCATATATTTGTAGCAAACCAAGAATATATTTGAAGGAAACTTTGCGTATATTTTGTAGGAAACTCTGCTTATATTTTGTAGGAAACCCAGCATATATTTTGTAAGAAACCTTGCGTATATTTTGTAGGAAACTCTGTGTATATTTTGTAGGAAACTCTGCGTATTTTTTGTAGGAAACTCTGCGTATATTTTGTAGGAAACCTTGCGTATATTTTGTAAGAAACCTTAAGTATATTTTGCAGGAAACCTTGCGTATATTTTGCAGGAAACCTTGAGTATATTTTGTAGGAAACCCTACATATATTTTGTAGGGAACTCTGCATATATTTTGTAGGAAACCTTGCGTATAATTTGTAGAAAACCCTGCGTATATTTTGTAGGAAACCTTGAGTATATTTTGTAGGAAACCCTACATATATTTTGTAGGGAACTCTTCATATATTTTGTAGGAAACCTTGCGTATAATTTGTAGAAAACCCTGCGTATATTTTGTAGGAAACCTTGCGTATATTTTGTAGGAAACCCAGCATATATTTGTAGGAAACTCTGCGTATATTTTGTAGGAAACTCTGCGTATATTTTGTAGTAAACCCTGCGTATATTTTGTAGGAAACTCGGCGTATATTTTGTGGGAAACTCTGCGTATATTTTGTAGTAAACCATGCGTATATTTTGTAGGAAACCCTGCCTATATTTTGTAGGAAACCCTGCGTATATTTTGACCCATTTAAGTTATATATATGCTCAATTTTTACCCTATTAAGCTTAATTCATTATTTTCCAATCTTTAAAATTAGAGTTATTAAACTGAAATTAAATAATTTTATTTTTTTAAAGGCACAGTCCTTGGAATTTCAACTGTCAACTTTAAACCGTTCTCTGTTAATAAAAATTAAGAAAATAATTAATTTTCTAAAAGACAATGATGAATATCTCATTCTTTCTTGCTTGGTAATATATTTTAAGTTTATGTTTGTGAATTGTATTTATACATGCATCTTCAAAAATCACTTAAAATTACATCTACAGTCTCTTTAATAAAAGTTATGAAAATAATGGTTTGGTTTGTAGGTTGCTACACCCAACCACGCTGGGCCACAACTCCTCGTCAGAAACATCTACTCACAACTAAATTTTTTAGGTTCAAATTTTACTCATGTATATTTTAAATTTGACTTTTACCTTTTGACATAGATAAATAGTTTTACTTTTATTTTTAACGATTAGATTTTAACATGGATTTGTATACAGTGATAACCAGAAAACAATGGAATGGGAAAATGATATTTTAGCAATACTTCAGTGTATTTGATGTTGTTACAGAGAAAATAGTTTAACTAGACACTTAGAAATTCATTAATTTAAAGCAATGGGTCTGTTTACACCATGTTTACACTGCTCATTGCTGTGTCTCTTGCTCATTGGAACTTTTAAAGTTATAAATGGATTCTAAAAGTCGTCTTCCTATTTCAGAGTTTTCTGGTTATGACGGTACTAAGTGTACTAAATGTTAGGACCCAGAGGAGTACAGTACAATACATGAATTGTTAAGGTGTAAGTGTACTAGATGTGAGGACCTAGAGGAGTACAGTACAATACATGAATTGTTAAGGTGTAAGTGTGCTAGATGTGAGGACCTAGAGGAGTACAGTACAATACATGAATTGTTAAGGTGTAAGTGTGCTAGATGTGAGGACCTAGAGGAGTACAATACAATACATGAATTGTTAAGGTGTAAGTGTGCTAGATGTGAGGACCCAGAGGAGTGCGGTACATATTCAGGAGCTCTACTCTGCCCAACACCGGATTGCAGGTACCCAGGGGTGTTTTCCTTGAAAAATATATTTCCCTCCCCCTCTTTAAAAATCATTTTTATTGCTGAATCGGAGAAAACAAATGATTTAATGGGGAAAATAAATTCTTGATCCAAAATTAGAACTGTTTTGTATGCGGAGAAAGGGTAGAGTATAGAATGCTGATGGACAGTTTGTACAGGGGAAATATTTGAAGATGGTTATACTCCAGGTCCTCCAAGATTTTGTTGAATATAGGAATCCTGTACTCCAGGTCCTCCTAGATTTTGTAGAATCTAGGAATCCTGTACTCCAGGTCCTTCTAGATATTTGTCGAATCTAGGAATCCTGTACTCCAACTACTTCTAGATATTTGTCGAATCTAGGAATCCTGCAATCCAGGTCCTCCTAGATATTTGTTGAATCTAGGAATCCTGTACTTCAGGTCCTCCTAGATATTTGTTGAATCTAGGAATCCTGTACTCCAACTACTTCTAGATATTTGTCGAACCTAGGAATCCTGTACTCCAGGTCCTCCTAGATTTTTGACGAATCTAGAAATCCTGCACTTCAAGTACTACTAGATATCTAGGAACCCTGTACTTCTAGGACTATACTAGATATTTGTTGAATCTAGGAACCCTGTACTTCTAGGACTACTATATATTTGTTGAATCTAGGAACCCTGTACTTCTAGGAGTGCTAGATATTTGTTGAATCTTGGAACCCTGTACTTCTAGGACTATAATAGATATTTGTTAAATCTAGGAACCCTGTATGCCCCCGATATCCCGGAGAAGCAAACCAGGACTGGATCTGTATAAAGTGTAAAACACATGTTCCCTCGAGAAAGGTAAACATATAAATAATCTTTAAGAATTATTACTGTGGAGTTCGCAAAACTCTACTTTATTTTAGGCAAAAATATGATCAATCCTGAATAACATTTTAAGACTCTATGTACTCCCTGTCCTTCCTGTACTCCCTGTACTCCTTGTACTCCCGTACTCCCTGTACTCCCTGTACTATCTGTACTCCCTGTATTCCTTGTACTCCCTGTACCCTCTGTACTCCCTGTACCCTCTGTACTCCCTGTACTTCTTTTGCTCCTGTACTCCCTGTACTACCTGTACTACCTGTACTACCTGTACTCCCTGTACTACCTGTACTCCCTGTACTACCTGTACTCCCTGTACTACCTTTATACCATGTACTTTCTGTACTACCTGTACTTCCCTGACAAGCTGGACATCTTGTGCTCCCTGTACTTCCTGAACTCACTGTACTCCTGTACTTCCTGTACTCCATTTACTACCTGAACACCCTGTAATCCATGAACTCCCTGGACTCTTTGTCCTCCCTGTACTTCCTGTAATCCCCGTACTCCCTCTTCTTCTGTACTCCCTCTAATCCTTCTTTTCCTGTACTCCCTCTTTTCCTGTACTTACTATACTCCATGTACTTTCTGTACTTTCTGTACTCCCTCTTCTCCGGTACTCCCTCTTCTCATGTACCCCCAATACTCCCTGTACTACTAGTATTGTTGTTTAGTGTTTGACCAGTCTAGCTGTGGGTACCCAGCTAGTTCATACCAGAGATAGATCTGACCAGAAACAACTTATCCAACTTATTCAAAAGTAAGGTTTTTTTATTAGTTTTCGTTTTAGTTATTAAAATCTATATAATAAACTCTTCGCTCACATAGTTGGCCAAATATTTGGACAAAATTGGATGACATTTTTTATGTATGCTTCCCATCCTTCCCACTACACTGTATCCATGTTTGTATATAAACTACTGTGTCCTAAGATTATAATGCTGCTGTATCATACCCACTATGTTTTTATATAAATGACTGTATCCCCAAGGTTAAAATTATGGTTGTATCCTTCCCACTACACTTTATTCATATCTGTATATAAATGATGTATCCTAAGGTTAGAAGGGTGGCTGTATCCTACCCACTCCACTGTATCCATATCTGTATATAAATGACTGTATCCTAAGGTTAGAAGGGTGGCTGTATCCTACCCACTACACTGTATCAGAGTTAAAGATGGCTTGTATCACGGAGTGGGGAGATCCAAATTTTGTTCCTTTTAAAGGTAAAATCATGAAGAATTCTATAAAGAGAGAAATTTATTTTTTGTACTGCAAGCAACTACCCAAACTATACAATTGAACTGATTACTCGCTAATGCTTATATATTCGATATTAAAATTTTTAGTGAGTATTCAGCTTCTTTTTCATTTTTGGGGTAAACCAGTTACTTAATGGAAAACTCGTAGATTGTTTTTTTTCGACATTAGTTGCTACGATAGCTTTTATTTGCCAGTTATTCTTTAAATATTATCTATTTTTGTATTAAAAATAATCTTAAATATTGATTGATTATAATTTAAATACTTGACATTATTGTAACTTTATGAGATATTTTATTCACATATAGATGTTGATGAGATTGAACTAAAACTTAAAATCAAGTTTTCTGTTGAGATGATGAAATCTGTAGAAATAATAGAGGGAGAACAATCTAGGTAATAATAATAATAATAATAATAATAATAATAATGTGTATTTGATGTTGTTACAGAGAAAATAGTTTAACTAGACACTTAGAAATACCAGACATATATCTATATATTTAGAGGTTCTAGTGAGATGGTTCTAGTTTGTACCAGACATATATCTATATATTTAGAGGTTCTGGTGAGATGGTTCTGGTCTGTACCAGACATATATCTATATAATAATGATAATGATAATGATAATGATAATGATAATGATAATGATAATGATAATGATAATGATAATGATAATGATAATGATAATGATAATGATAATGATAATATTAAGAAGAAGAAGAAGAAGAAGAAGAATTATAGTGATAATAATTATGAAAAAACTTTTATAATAATAATAATGTTCAAATATGTTTAGGAGTAAGGGATTTATTATCTACAATTTACTAAAAACATTAGATCACTGTAAAACAATGGAGATAGCAGTTGACAAGGTAAAAAAATCTTATTTTTAAAATGATTTTTTATTATTTTTCTTTTTTTGTTGGTTTGTTACTCTATTTAGAAATGAGATGAATTACTTTATTAATTACATCTAATTTAGATAAAAATTTTCCTAATATTGTGAAAATTCTTAACTCCTGATATATTTAGGATATTCTGAAACTAGTTCCTCAGCTTACAAGAGAAATTAAGATTATATTCAAGGAATTGAAAATATTAATTATTAAATAAATGAATAATCTACTCTTAACTCAGCGGTTAATTTTAAATTGTACCGTACCTACTCCTTGTACCCGGCACGACCTTGTACCGTACCCTCTGATGTACAATGTGTACTATGAATGAGCTTTTTGTCTACAATGTTAACTTTGCATGTACTATGTGTGTGCAATGTGTACTATGTATGTACTATGGGATTATAATGTGTACTATTTATGTACCAGTCGTTTACTATGTACGTACAATGTATTTACTATGTGTGTACTCATAGTTCCTATGTATGAACTATGTGGGTACTATGTTTTTACTATGTATGCACTATTTGTGTTCTATGCACGTACCATGTATGTACTAAGTGTGTACTATGTTTGTATTATGTGTGTACTATAAGTGTACTATCTACTTACTATATACGTATGTACTTTGTATGTGTGTACTACGTGTGTACAGCGAGATTCATATTAGAATTAATTTGAATAATTCCTAATATAATCCATATCGTATTCCAACTTGAGATCTATTAGGAAGATCTTGAAAGTAGAATTATTAAAAAATAATATGGTCTCTTGTTCTCTCGGGGGAAGTATCTGCATTGTGTGTAGAATTGTTACACATGTAAATAAAACTACGATTTGTATTCCGAAAAGTTTTTATTGCGGTTTCCATCCTTTAGCATTGCATATTTTCAATTTGTCCAGGACGACTGTGGATCTCCAGTAGATTATTGCAGTTTTATTCATTAAACTTATTATTCAGCAACATTTTTACTCTAGGGTTCATTTCAAGTACCTCACTCGTTTTAAAGGGACTGTCAGCGTAATTTTCAAGGGAAATGCCCGATTTACAACTTGAAATTACACTTACAGTCTCTTCAAAGAAGCTCTGTCAAGTTGTATAGTATACATAAAGACTGTAGACGGCTTAAACGGTACATTACATCAAATGAATCATTTCCTTCTTGTGAGATTATAGTGCTAGGTAAAGTAAAAAAAAATGTAAACAACACTTTTTTTGTATTTTGATAATAATGTGATAAATAACATAAATTATAAGATATTCAAATTGTGATTCTAAGAATAAGTAAGCTTGTTGAATTGATAAACATTAAGTTTTAATATCATATTGAATCTGCAGGATATATCATATAAGAATTTATTATTTAGATACAAAATATCGACAACTTTATAACATTCTATATCTGAAGGTCCCCCTTTATTACGCAGACACAACAAGAAGGAAATCTGAAATAATATTGAATTTTGTAAATTTAATTTAACTTTATCTTAATCTCAAACTTGATTTTAAAAAATATCTTAGATAATTTTAAAATTTAAATAAATGCTGTAAAAAGTAAAGTATAAGTAAAATAAGTGCAAATACTAATTTTAGAATTTTAGTTTTATTTTAATTATTCTTATTGTTTACAGTTAAAAAAAAAAACTCTTCAAGAAATTATTCTATTATAGCAATTAAATCAATGTTTATAAAAATAGGCAGCAAAAACATCCGTTTGTTTTTAATTTTAATTAGTTATGAAGCTTTCCTTAGTTCTAATATTCCTTATCTACTGACTCCATCTTCTCCTTAGTTCTAATATTCCATACCTACTGACTCCATCTTCTCCTTAGTTCAAATATTCCTTACCTACTGACTCCATCTTATTCTCCTTAGTTCTAATATTCCATACTTATTGACTCCATCTTATTCTCCTTAGTTCTAATATTCCATACCTACTGACTCCATCTTATTCTCCTTAGTTCTAATATTCCTTACCTGAATGTATCAATCTCTATACTGGTATTATCTGATCCAAGTGTCACCAGTTTCAGATTCATGTACTTTTGCCTGTAATAATAAAATAAGTTAATATTTATTGAATAATATTTCATGAATAAATTATGAAGGAACTGATCTATATTTGTATGATATATTTTTTATTTAAAGAAATAGAAATTTTTAAAGAAATTTCAAGGAACTGAATACTCGCCTCAAACCTTATTTTTCTTTTGTGATTTTTCAAACTTGAAGTATTTAATCTTGATAGTTCGAAATATTAAAGGCTTTCGATATCAGATTGCAGAGATATAAAGATTAGGAATATTAAGTCAGTAAATTACAGTAACACTGAACAATGAATGCTTGGATACATAAAAGTTTTTTTTCTAGGTAATTGCACGTAGATACTTCATATAACTTTATATATACAATTTATCAAGTGTTCAGACACAAATAATCAGCTGACTTGTTATTTTTGAATTATTGTGTAAATATTAGATATCTTTTAAAATTATAAAGAACATACCTGCACTCTGATTGTATTCTGCTGTTTATTATTCGCCCAGTTGGATCACAATCAAACCCACTTCTAGGAAAGCAAACAATGTTAAAAGCGTACTGCAAAAATCACTATTTTAAAGAAATTTGGAATTTCCAAAAAAAAAGTTATGCCTTGTTTGCGACTTTGAAGTTATTAAGACAAAAATATACTTTTTTTCCTCTGGTGCCAAAAGACGACATTCCAACTGAATATATCTTTTATGCTTTTGGTTCTAAAAGAAGACATGCACTTTACCTGGAAAAAGAACAATAATTGAAACATAACAATACTCGGGACATGTTGTAATATAAACTTTACTATGGGACAAGTTGTGACATGAACTCTACAATGGGACAAGTTGTGACATAAACTCTACAATGGGACAAGTTGTGACATGAACTTTACATGGGAAAAGTTGTGACATGAACTCTACAATTGGACAAGTTGTGACATGAACTTTACAATTTGGGACAAGTTGTGACATGAACTTTACACGGGAAAAGTTGTGACATGAACTCTACAATTTGGGAAAAGTTGTGACATGAACTTTACAATGGGACAAGTTGTGACATGAACTCAACAATTCGGGACAAGTTGTGACATAAACTCTACAATGGGACAAGTTGTGAAATGAACGCTACAATAGAACAATGGGACAAGTTGTGACATGAACTCTACAATGGGACAAGTTGTGAAATGAACTCAACAATTCGGGACAAGTTGTGACATAAACTCTACAATTGGACAAGTTGTGCTACAATAGAACAATGGGACAAGTTGTGACATGAACTCTACAATGGGACAAGTTGTGAAATGAACGCTACAATAGAACAATGGGACAAGTTGTGAAATTAACTCTACAATGTAACAAGTTGTGAAATTAACTCTACAATAGAACAAGTTGTGACATGAACTCTACAAAGTAACAAGTTGTGATATGAACTCTACAATGTTATAAGTTGTGGCATGAACTCTACAATGCTACAAGTTTTGACATGAACTCTACCATGGAACAAGTTGTGACATGAACTCTACCATGGAACAAGTTGTGGCATGAACTCTACAATGTTACAAGTTGTGGCATGAACTCTACAATGGATCAAGTTGTGACATGAACTTTACAATGGAACAAGTTGTGATATGAACTCTACAGTGGGACAAGTTGTGACATGAACTTTACAATGGAACAAGTTGTGACATGACCTCTACCATGGAACAAGTTGTGACATGAACTCTACAAAGGAACAAGTTGTGGCATGAACTCTACAGTGGGACAAGTTGTGACATGAACTCTACAAAGGAACAAGTTGTGACATGAACTTTACAATGGAACAAGTTGTGATATGAACTCTACAGTGGGACAAGTTGTGACATGAACTAAACCTGGAATATATTGTAACCTGACTCTTCCTGGAACATGTTGTGACATGAACTTTACCTGGAACATGTTGTGACATGAACTATACCTGGAACATGTTTTGACATGAACTATACCTGGAACATGTTTTGACATGAACTATACCTGGAATATTTTGTGACATGAACTATACCTGGAACATCTTGTGACATGAACTATACCTGGAGCATTTTGTGACATGAACATATTGTGAGTATTCAGATTTACTGTTTGGTAGATTTATGATATACTTCCAGTCTCCTAAAAATTGAGAATATGTAAATTTCTAAAACTATGAAGCTACCCACTATGACCTTCTTTACTTAATCAAGAGTTTTAAGGCTATCAAATGACATTTAAAGAAAAAAAACAAGTCTACACTACAAATACAAAGAACCGTAATTAAATGTTGAATTTTTCTTTAACGGGACTGTAAAGGAAAAATAAAAGCTAATCACTTTAGCTCTTGTTCCCGACCCATGAAACTGTTATCTGATGTTCCTGTCTCGAGAAATTTATATAAAACTGTGTCAAAATACGAAAATTCATATATATGCAGCAGAACTCCCACCAATGAGAGTGGAGTATACTTGTCGCGTGTCTCTGTCTGTATCGCGTGACCAGTATACTGTACTACCATTGGTGGGAGTTCTGATGACGTCATACGTACTTATTAATTATATCTATAAAAAAAAACAATTATAAATAATAATTGAAGAAAACCTAAGTTACAATTAAGTTTCTCTGGGATATCTTCGTTTTAGATTGGTTGCATATATTTTCTGAATATGAACTGTTTAAACCTACCATTTCTATACTAAATTGTGTATATATGAATTTTCGTAAAAAAATGACACAGTTTTATATCAATTTCTCGTGATAGGAACATTAGATCTTTCATGGATTGAGATCAAAAACTAATGTAAATAGCTTTCAGCCTATACCCCCTTCAATTTTCCTTTACAGTCCCTTTAACGTCTCATCCTGGAGCTTTTCATTATATTTACCGTTTATATTTGCAGCTTGTCTTGGTTTATACCAGGAGGACAGGGTGGAGCATAGTTGGAACTCTGGAGAAGGTTCGTGTCCATCATGTTCATCATCAGGCTTAACTTCAGCTCCGGGTTCAGATTCAACTCCAGGTTTAGCTCTAAGTAGACCATGATGTTCTTTATAAACTGCACCCAGTTTTACGTCCTGTAACCGTATTTTCAAGGGTCTGGAAACTCCAATCCTAAAATGTTTTTAAATAATCACTTCAAATTACAACACCTTTCTTATTATTAATCAGATTAAGGTTCTAAGAAAGGGTACCGATGTATATAGAGCATTCAACTCTTGAATTGGAGAATAACTTAAAATTACAGCAACAGTCCCTTTAAAATTAATTCAAATATAAATTCATTTTAGGCTTTTATCTGAAAATTTTCTATGTTTATGAGAATGCACTTGTATATTTTCTAATCCTCCCTGAAAACTGCATTCATATTTTATAATAATATATAATATATTCTACATAAACACTCCTGCATCGGCAAACCCACTTTAATCAACTGAAGCGGTCAGTATTTAAATAATTGATACATTCGAAAATACATTTTCTATGTTTTCAGAAAATTTTGCATAAACAAAAAATAGAAATAATTTCTAGCTAGATTTTGAATTTTAAATTTTAATTTAGTAATAATGATGATTTCTTACAAGACACTTTTTAAATTTGTAAATAGTGATTCTTTTCTTTTTTCATCTTTTTAACTCCTATAAAGGTTTAATATAAAAAACAGGATATTAAATTTAAACCTACCCTCCGAAATTAAATCTATTTCCCTGAATTGTTCCAGTAAGAACAGCTGCAAAACTACCAACAGTAGGCCTTGAGCTGTATCCATCAATTTCAGTAGGTAGCTCTAATGCTGTTGTACCTTCTACGGGTTCATTCATTGTTTTAGCTTCTATGGGTAGATTGGGTAGCATTGATGTTGTTGTATCTGGTATTGGTACCTTTGCTGTTGTTGTATCTGTTATTGGTAGGGTTGATGATGTTGTATCTGGTATTAGTAGCTTCGATGTTGTTGTATCTGTTATTGGTAGCGTTGATGATATTGTATCTGGTATTATTAGCTTTGATGTTGTTGTATCTGTTATAGGTCGCTTCGATGTTGTTGTATCTGTTGATGGTAGCGTTGATGATATTGTATCTGGTATTAGTAGCTTTGATGCTGTTGTATCTGTTATTGGTTGCTTCGATGTTGATGTATCTGGTATTGGTTGCTTCCATGTTGTTGAATATCTAATTGGAATCTCTGACTGTACTCTTGAAGTTGTAGTTGTATCTCCAGCGGATCTAGCAGCATTATATGCTTCTATGTTTTCTCTAAACATTTCTTTAAAGAAAGGGTTCTCCATGTTTTTCAGCATCTAAATAGAATCAACACATCAAATAAACCCGTAAATCAAGAGCGCCAATATACAGGATCTTAAAAAATTCGTCTTTTTTAAATCACTCTAAATTAAAGAAAAACGCGACATTTGTGAAAACATATCAATAGTCTACTTTCAGGTTTACTTTGAGCTTATTCAGGCTCTTCTCAAAATGAGCTCAATATTACCAGGCCCGTAACCAGGGGGGGTGCAAGGGTGCAGGTTCACCCCCCTTTTTTCTTAAAGAGGGGTGCAATGACGAATTTGCACCCCCCCCCCTAGTCCCATATAAAAGAAATTGTTCTCATAAGTATCTAAAATCTAGTTATTAATTTATATAGCCCGAGTAAGAATTGATTTCCAAACCAAATTATAATCTATTTGTGCGTTACTCATTAAAAGTGTGACGGAGTTTTTGTGTACTCTCTCAACTCATTCCCTGTGTACTCTCTCTAAGTACACTCAGTACACTCTGTTAATTAAATATAACACAACATCAAAATTTACTCATAGTCATTTAATAGTTGTTTAAGTCTAATTAAAACAGTATGATTTATTAATTATATGCATAGAGTCCCATGGAAATGAAATGGTAATCTCCTGTATACTTTCAGACTTTTAGCCCCCCCTTGACCGGTGTGCTATGTTTTATGAGTCTATTTTTTGAGGCATTTCCGTGGTAAGGCGTTTCCATAGCACCCCCTTGACCCTTGAAAAGCTTTTTTCAAATGAATAAGAAATAAGATCATATCATTTTCATATTGCAAAGTCAAAGTAATAAATGATTACTTGACTCTGTTAGTTAAGCAGTTCTCCCTTAAAAGCTCAAATAAACCAAACATTGTTTAAAAAATCATTAAAAAACCCCCCAAAAAAATTTCCCCTGCGGCGCGTCATATTGCACCCCCCATCGTCAAATCCTGGTTACGGGCCTGAATATTACTGTGAGCAAAATATTGCCATTTCTATCAGATAACAATTAATTATCGTGAAGTCTCCTTTCGTGTTGGTGGGTCTTATCTCCCTATAAGTTTCCTTAAACCTTAAACATGACCTCCTAATGCCATGACATTATGAAATTTTCTTGCTATAGGAGAAATGTCCTCCTGATAGCGACTACTAAAAGAAATATACACTAGTGCTTGGCTACTATTGGTTTTGGAAAACTGTTGAGTGGAAACACTTATACTAAGCACTAAACCTAGAGATAGTTTTCAGTACAAAAAATCCTTTCGATTTGTATCAAAAAAGGTTTTTACAATTCGGAATGCTTGTGACTTTTCATGATTGAGAAATGTAATAAAACATTATCTTTCTTCAGTCAAATTTTGAAAAATGCAATATAAGCAAACTTGTGAAAAATAAGAGACCTTGGAAAATAACATGAGTGCGTAAAGTGAACTGAAAGCAAAATACAGCTGGATTGAAAAAAAGGAGAAAGAAAAAGAACGACCAAGACTTTTAACAAAAATTGAAGGTAAACCTGAATAATCTGGTTTTCAGGATAGAATTCTGGATCTTCACAAAACCAGTAGTAACCTTAACAAAATCGGAATTAAGATTTAAGAAAATTCTAAACATGCAAAAACCGACAAAAGAAAATCAAACAATTGATAAAGCTGATCATATTAGCTTAAAAAGATGATGAAATGAAGTGAATATGGTTGATAATAAAGTTTAAAAGATGAGAAATTTAATTAATATCAATAGTTGTAATGATAATAATAATAAAGTAGCAAACTTACTTATTAAAGTACAATAAATTAAAAACGGTTTTGGTTCTACTCACTAGCTCTTCAACATGAGGAGTTTAAAAGCATGGAAGATATGAATCTTGCAATCTTTGCAATTAACTCTAGTTGTTATACTTTAATACCTGGACTCCCAGAGCAAGTTAATGGTTCCAGCCTTCTTGCTATTTTACTAGATTAATATAATAAATTAAACAGGTCAAAATGACTCACGTCTGAACTTTTAAATAAAAAAATCTACAAACCCTAAGCCTGATATTTCTAACCGAAACTTTTAAATACAAGCGATTAAATGCTTAATCCAATCTCACGAATTAAGTTTAAACCTTTTTAAAAATTTCAAAATAATTTAATTATAAACCTTTCATCCCGTGTTCGGTATGTGTAGGGTTGAATAACCTGAAAAAAAATCAAATTCTTTAATTCTAGATTATAAATTTAAAATTTTTTTTCTGGTTTCTTATTCAGAACTGATTACTCGCCTCTAACTTAATTTATAATATGGTGGTAGGCGATTATATCAATACAATGAAGACGACTTTTGATTTAAGTTCAAATTGTTAACAAGCTTTATTCGAATTACAATTTTACAAGTAGAGAAGATTTTATAATGTACAGCTTCTCCTTGTTTCAATGTTTTTGTATTTTAAGCAAGATATAAATCTTGATTGAAATCGGAAGTCGTCTTTATCTTATTGATATAATCGCCTACCACCGTACTTATGTCTCTGCATTCTTATGCCGTAGACTTGTTACTTAAATTTTCAAATCAGGATAAAGTTAAACATTTCAGAGGCTTACACCCTTTGAGTAAATAGATAAAAGGGTAGAAAGCTATAGAGTTAAAGACAAGTAATAAGTTCTTTTACCTGTGCAAAAAAGCTAATAAAAGAATATACGCAAAAATTCTTCAGCATTTTAAGCCTAAACCTTAAAATATTTTTACTTTTACAGATGATAAAATGATTTGACGGTTATGATTTCGGCGTTATGCTTATTTTAATTTTTTTTTACTTTTGTGCAAATAAAGTTTTTTAATTAAAAAATTAGAAAATTGGGAGAGGGGTTTTTATTTGAAGCGTGGTTTACAATTTCAAACACTTGGTATGTAGCTGTAAGTTGTTTTTGTTCTTTACAGTATGCAATAAAATGTCTTTTAGTCACCAAGGAAAAACGATTATTAATGGCAATTAAAATTTTAGGTTCAAGAAAAAAAAAACTTTTTTGATGACAACTTAGCTCTTTTGTTACTCAAACCATGTTTGTCTTATAAATCATCATAAGAACGTATGTGAAGGTTTAACACTGAATGTAAACTGACTGAAATTTAATTTTGAGTTCGTGGTTTATATTCCTTGACGGTCAACTCACTATTAAACCTTATTGCGTAATATCAACATCTCATTCAATATAGAATATGTTAATGCGTAGCTGGACAGCCAGAACCAGTTTCATTTCTTTTTTTGACAATTCCTGGCCTGGCCTTAATAAGTGCACTTCAAATGTTGAATCTATATAGTAAATTGCATTAGCTAGCTAAATGGTGAATTAGCCGCAAAACAATTTTAGTAATTTTTAAAATTCCACGGGCAACGCAGGGCACTTAAGCTAAAATCATAATTTAATTTCAAGAGGGGGCAACTATGAGTAACGATATAAACCTTGGCAATCTAATTATTTGTTTATGCCCAGGGCCGGGTGGCCTCTTTTTAATCTAAGGTGAACCTATCCTGAAACCCATATATTCCCAGCTGAGCTGGGGTAAAATTTTCACTATTTTCTTATGGGTTTAAAAGTAAAATATCACTCCAGCTGAGTGCAACTTTCAATATTTGCGCATTTTTAGCTGTAAAGTTCCCGCATTCTTTTGAATGATCATCTTCCAGCATTAATATCTTTTTCTCGGAAAAAAAAAGTTTTTCGCTCAAATACTTTATACCTCGCCTCCCTTCAACCAGTAGGGTTATAAATAGTTATTTTCACACTTTGATTTACAACGCTTTTGTTTAAAAGGCTTCAATTAAAAAGGCGTAATTGGCAAAATGATAAAAAAGCTAGAACAGTTAAGTTTATTGTGTTATTATGGTTATTTTCAACGAGTTTAAACATCCCTTTAAGCAGTCCTGTAAATAATGAAGTTTTTTATAAAAAAAATTATATATTTCGAGCAAAGGATTACAAAATAATTCAATACAAATTCAAGTACAATTTATAACATACAGTAATACATTATAATGTTATAAGTTAAACAATTACAATTAGATATATTTGTATATTTATTTAATTTTCGGTTGGTGGACTGTATTAAACATTCAAAGTATAATCGTATTGTATACAATCATTAAGTGCAATCTTAACAGATTATATTTTAAAACTATTAATTTCTAATTTTTTTCTCGAATATCAAATTATATTTAATCTTGTAGCAGGATCTTTTTCTTTACAAGAAAAATAAATGTTCATACTTGCCTGCATATTAATTTTTTAGATTTATAGCTTAAATAAGATATCAGCAATCTTTTTACACAACCTTTGCATTACACAATATTTCATTGTACAAAGCATCGTACAGTACCAAGACAGAACTATGTTTAAAAAATATATAACATAAAAGATAATTTCTTTTCTCTTAACAATATGTTTAGCCCGAGGGATATTTTTTGTCATTATAATAATCTAGTATGGTTGAGTAAAAAAATTATAAACATTAGAAAAAATTTACAAAAATTGCTCTACCAAGTAAACTTAGTTTACTAAATAATGAAGGTTTAAGGTTTAGTAAACTACAAAAAAACAGGTTTACTAAACTACGGTATACATGAAGCGTAGGCTTAAAGGTTTACTAAACTACGGTATACAAGAAGCGAAGATTTAAAGGTTTACTAAACTAGGGTATACAAGAAGCGTAGGTTTTAAGGCATGTTTTACTAAGCTAATATATGCAGAGGTCGGAACAATTTATTTCTTCTCCAACCTCTGAACTCTGCATACACAGTTAAAACTTTTGATAAAGCCGTAATCCATGAAAAAGCTGATTTCTCATCGATAGAGATGTTTAAAAGGAATTGACTTAATCCGTTGGACTGATCTAATTAATCTGATGGGATTAACAATACAAAAGTTCAGATTCAATATATTAAAAGGTTAAAACTCTAGATTTTTGGTGATCATACAGCTGCAGCAGGAAGGAAACCTAGATAAACAAATATTAAAGGGAGAAACCGGCTATGTAGCATATTTGAGCTGAAAGTGCAGTATTGTAGGTAATAAAAACTTAAGGATTCACTTTATTCCAACTAGACATTTTTACAGTGTACAATTCTTATATAAGAGCGTAAAGTTGTTTGTAATATTTTACCAGTTGTTTCAGCCAGCAGAAGAAAAGTTTTTTTTTACAATTATTTCATAACCTGGACGAAACATGCAAAAAAAATAATTTATAAACTAATTTTCTGATTAGGAACATATTTCTTAAAAGAAATTATCGATGAAAGCCATAGTAGAACCGTAGAAACGATTTATCATAATCTATAACTTTTTTCACAGATTTCTTCAAAATGTCGTCTTCAGTCTTTAAAATAAAAATAAAGAAAATCTCCAACAAGCAACCCCAGCTGAAAGAATTTGCATAAACCTGCGCGGTTTTAAAATGAATATTTAATAACTTATTTCCAATGATAGAAGTTTCTTATTTTTTCAACCTATTTGTAAAAAAAAACGTTTCTTCTGCTGGCTCAAACAACTGGTGAAATATTACTAACGACTTTACGGTCTTATCAAAAAGTTGTACACCGTAAAAATGTCTTATTGGTATCAAATGAATCCTAAATTTTTTCTTTTCAAAACTGCATTCCCAGTTCAAATATGTTACATAGCCGGTGTCTCCCTTTAAAACTAAAATTAATTTCCAGATTCATATTAAAGTTTAGGTTTACATTTAACTGTTTAGTACAATCACAATGCATTCCTTCATACTACTGAAGTTAGCTTAATACATGATTTAAATTCTATTTATTTCTGAACTATAAAAATGCTGCAAATCTATATAAAATATTTTAGCTACGGATACTGGCCAAACGGCTCGACCAATTTGACTGACATCTGTTTGTGGAAACCCATCAGTATCCCTTGTGACATAGGCTAAAAAAATCTTGACAAATTTAGATTAAAAACAACTCCACGGGCAACGCCTGGCACTTGAGTTAGTATTTGAATAAAATGGTTTCTGCAGGATGAATACGAAGTATATAAAAAAATCTGACTGCCTGGAATGAAATAGTTGACTATACTATTAAAGGAGCTGTAAGTGTAATATCAAATGACCTCAACGGTGCCATTATTTGAGTAACAAGGAGACAAATTCTGTTGAATTACTTCCTTGTCTCTGGTGCATAAATCTCAGTTTACTTTTATGGAAGCAATAGCAATGTATCAATTTTAAGACAAGAAAAACTAGAATAATTTAAATTTTTATCATTAAAAGGGTACCATGGTGGGTCACTTGATATTACACTTAGCGTCTCTTTAATGCAAAAAGACATATTTCAAGGGACCTACGTAATGCACAGGGCACACTCTTCAAACTTCAGGTTTTATTAATAGTTTGGGAAGTTTAGTAAATTGTAAAGAGCTCGAAGGTAGGATATTTTTCCCCACTTAACGGAGGAGTCTCAGAAATCAGTGTTTTAAGAGGAATATTTTTATACACATCTTGATTTATTTTTTAAAAAATGTTCTCGCTTACATTAATGATTTAATCTCCACAAAAAAGGCTAAATTCTGAACAAGTTTTGAAATTATAAAAAAAAAGGTTTTCGAATTCCTTTTCAAATTGTATCAAAGAAAACATAAGAACTGGTGCAAGATGGATTTGAGCATATTTATCAAAATAGAGCCTCATAGTTTCATTTTACTTAAACTATTATATACTAAATGTAATATTTTTAAAAAAATTTTGTTAAAATTATTTTCTTTTCATCCCAACAGCTCTCCCTGTCATCTTACACTGTTAGAAATGCCATTTTGTAAATTTTCAATATCATCATATTTCAAGCCAATATAATCAGTATATAGAAGACATTCATTGATATATCGTTTAAAATTTGATGTTTTCTGGTCAGAATGATTTTACTTGAATTAGTCTAAATACTAATTGATGTAAGTACAATTAGAATCACATCAAATTTTTTTCCCCGGAAAATAGATTAAGCAGAATTAAACTTGCATCAATAAAGACGATTTGTTAATTCAAACAGAATTCTGATTGATATCAACAAAGCGCGTGCGTAAAATTCCCAGTTTTCGGATTTTCCACTTTCCAGTTTAATCAAAACATGGCGCGAAGATGGACATTTTACCGGTTATTTTAAAAAAGAAATCAAAGTTATAGTCTAAAAAATAACTAGTAAACATTTGAATGTGAATGCA